TAGCATCTCCCAAAGGATTCGATGCGGCTTACACAGGCCTCCAACAGTTTGAGCGACTGTGACCTGGCCCTCTGTTTAAAAAGTTTGAGGACCCTTGGTATAAATAAACATAAACATAATGATAATTTTATTTCTGTGCTAAGCAGATTTAAATGACAAAATTCTAGAGTGGGAACCAAGGGCTGGATAGGACTATAGCTCTGGACACCTTAATTGTGTTCATAATAACCTAATGTTTTTACTCTTGCCTATGGAAAACAATCAGATCAGGAAAGAGCAAGGCTGATTTTCTGTAAATCTCATGAATGCAGTTTTGTATTTTCTTCAGTTTTGGGATAATCTGCTGGTTTATCCACCTCACATACAACATAAATTATATGGAAGAATTGGACACAGTGCATAGTGTAAACATAAGCTTGACTTGCATTTTTTTTTCATGTCTGGACTTGAGAAACTGCAAGTTGCTTCTGGTGGGAGAGAATTGACCTACTGCAAGGACGTTGCCCAGGGGACACCTGGATGTTTCTCTCATGTCCCCACAGGGAAAGCTGGAGCTGACAGATGGGAGCTCATGCCGCTTCCCGGATTCGAATTGCCGACCTTTCAGCCAGCAGTCCTGCCAGCACAACAGTTTAACCCATTGCACCACTGGGGGCTCCAACCAGCATGCTATCCTGGTTATATTATCTTCTTAACTGGAAACAAACCCAAGTATGAATGACTGAGGTTTCCCAATCATGATTTATGAACAATCTGCCTATGTGCTGTTTCCTATGTGCTGAATGCTCCTGTGCCAACCTGTGTTACTGTGCTCTTCCAAGCCAAGCAGCCTTAATCCTCTCCAGCTGGAGCAGGCTCCTGGTTTGTTTTAGGAGGTCGGCCAAGGACATTATTATGTATAAACCCAGCCATCCATCCAGCCCTCCATTCTGCAGCACAGATAGTTATCTAATAGCAAGCTAAATACTGCAACCTGAGTTGCGTAATAGTCTCTAGGAAGTGTAACTCAAGCCACAAAAAAGTCACAGGAGAATCAACAGGGTGAAGTTAGATTAGAATAATCATGAGCTAATAAACAAGTATTTATCCTTTGACACAGAATGGTTCCAAAGCAGTTTCTTTTAAATGATTTGAAGCTGTTTACAACACATAATTTGGTTTTGCCTTATTGCTTTCATATTATATTTGACATTCTTTATCCAAATGTAAGGATTTCAAATATCATAATATATAGCTTCCTCTGATTAACCGAATTCTGTCTAATATGCAAGTGTTTGTATAGCTTATCACGGCGCAATGTATTGGTTTGAGTGTAGAACTATAATTTTGGAAACTAGGGTTTGATTCTTTGCTCAGCCCTAAAAACACATGGGGGTGATATTAGTTGTCACATACTCTCAACCCTAGAAAATCCCATGGTATGTAGAATCTCCATACATTGGAAATGACCTGAAAATAAACAACAAACATAACAGAGAAAATACAAACACAGCATTTTCCTTCAGTAAAGAAATATTGAAATGTTTTTCTTTTTGAAATCAAGGTTACAAAAGTTATCAAATATTGTTTTCATTTGCTACAATTGGCGCATGTAGTAAAATTCAAAATATCAATATTGTATCATCAACATAATTATAGTCATAATTAGACATGTACTATTCGGGGAAACCTTGTCCTGTTTCGTTTCACAGCTTTTGTCGGGGACCCTGATCCGTTTTTTGTAAGCCTCCTGAAATTGGGAGGGTTATTTTCGGTTCTTTTGTTTTGGGGCCCGAAAATCGGATCATAATGGGGGGGGGGGCTTCCCACCCACTGACTCCTCTTCCTGGCGTTCTTCTTAACTGGCACCTGCTGTTTCTACTCTAGAGTACGAGACACTTGGCTGTAGGTGCCCGTGCTTTCCAGGCCTGCCTGCATGCCCCACCACAGACATACTCTCCATGGAAAGAGTGCGTGTGTGGTGGTGCGTGCAGGCAGGCTGGCCTGGAGCCTGGTTGCAGACATGCTCTGAGATGCCCCGGGCTTCTTCTCTTCCTCCTCCTCCTTCCTCCTTGTCTTCCTCCCCAATGTTGGGATGGGTAACTGGGTAACCTGGGAAGAAGGAGGGTGAGCCCACAATCAACTTGCCTCCTTGTCTTGGAAAGAGAGTGCGTGTGTGGCGGGGCGTTCAGGCAGGCAGACATGGAGCTCAGCTGCAGGGTATGCTCCAAGATGCACTGGGCTTCTTCTCTTCCTCCTCTCCTTCTTCCTCTCCCTCCTCCCTCCCTCCCTCCCTCCCTCCCTCCCTCCCTCCCTCCCTCCCTTCCTTCCTTCCTTCCTTCCTTCCTTCCTTCCTCCTTGTCTTCCTCCCCAATGTTGGGATGGGTAACTGGGTAACCTGGGAAGAAGATGGTGAGCTCACAATCAACTTGCCTCCTTGCTTTGGAAAGAGAGTGCGTGTGTGCCGGGGCATGCAGGCAGGCCTGGAGCTTGGCTGCAGGCATGCTCCAAGATGCACCGGGCTTCTTCTCTTCCTCCTCCTTCCTTCTTGTCTTCCTCTCCAATGTGGGGATGAGTAACTGGGCAACCTGGGAAGCAGGAGGGTGAGCCCTCTATCAATTAGCCTCCTTGCCTTGGAAAGAGAGTGCACTCTGAGCCTGCCTAACTGTACGCCCTGCCACACACGCATTCTCTTTCTAAGGTAAGGAGGCAAATTGATTGAGGGCTCACCCTCCTGCTTCCCAGGTTGTTCAGTGGCCTATCCCCACATCTGGATTCCGGAAGGGGAGCAGCATCGAGGAGGAAGACAAGAAGGTGGAAAGAGGAAGAGAAGAAACATGGTGCATCCCAGAGTGCGCCTGTAGCTGAGCTCCGGGACTGCCTGCCTGCACGCCATGCCACACACGCATTGTCTTTCAGAGGCAAGGAGGCAAGTTCAGATGCACATGAAAGCAGGCTGTAGGCAGGCTTTTGTGTCAAGATTTTCTGTGGGGAAGAGGGTTCCCGTTTCGTGCTTCCAAATAAACTGAAGACACAAAATAAAAGATAGAAATGAATTTAGCGCACATCTAGTAATTATTAGTATGCAAACATGATAAAGTTTAATTTCATGCGAGAAAAAAATCCCCAGATATTAGAAGGGTGAAGCCAAGGTAATCTCAGAGCCACCAGAGCAGTAATACTCAAAAGAGTAGTCTCCAAACTCGTGCTGGTGCCCCACAAGTCATCTATTGCTGGTCTCTGGAAAATTTACAAAAAAACAAAATTGATAATTGTACCCAATGGGCAAAGTATGGTACTGGGTCTTGGCATATTGCAATTCCTCCCCCCCTCTCTGTTCCCCTACCTACATCAAGTTGCTTAAGATATCCTGCAAGCAGTCAAAATATCCTGCAACCTGATGTCATTGCAAAATACCTCCCTCCAAGACCAGTGGAATCTATGGTACTGCAATTTGATAGATTTGACAGATACCATACCAGAGATGTTCAAAGAAAGTTGCACAGCATTACATAATATAAACAGCTGAGAATAGTAACTGTTAACTATGGTTACAAAACACACACTGGTTCTTGTAATATTCTGGCATACAACCAAGAGAATCCCTGGTGCTAATGTTTTCTATTAAAAGGGCAAATTCAGATCTTAGTTTGCAGACTGTACCATTTGACCATTTTTGTGCATCACTGAACTATTTTTTGTGGAAAGTCAGCAGATATTATAGAAAGGTTACTCAGGGTCTATTAGATATGGCAATTGAGAAGTGCAGCTCCTGACATGCGGAATGCCATTAGATCAGTGAAAGGTTATCTTAGGTCGTCAGCATCTCCAGTCAGAAATAAATACTGAGAAACTTTTTTTTCACGTTTTAACGCATCACATGAGAAGGTTATGATACGAAGATTTAGTGCTGACCAGTCATTGCCCAGATACAGTGATACACAGGTGCAGTTATACTGAAATACTTGGATCTCTATTGGAAATAAAATGCTGAGTTGATATCCTTTGAAGTCACAAAAAACTATTGCTGCAACTAACATTGATCCGCCAACACCCTTTGTGAAACTGTCTGGAAAGCTAAATAAAACCTAGGTTGCTGTGAGTTTTCCGGGCTGAATGGCCATATTCCAGAAACATTCTCTCCTGACGTTTTGCCCACATCTGTGGTAGGCATCCTCAGAGATTGTGAGGTCTGTTGGAAACTAGGCAAATGGGGTTTATATACCTGTGGAATGTCCAGGGTGGGAAAAAGCACTCTTGTCTGTTTGAGGCAAATGTGGATGTTGCAACTGGCCAGCTTGATTAGCATTCAATGGCCTTGCAGCTTCAAAGCCTGGCTGCTTCCTGCCTGGGGGAATTCTTTGTTGGAATGTGTTAGCTAGCCCTGATTTTTTTTCTTGTCTGGAATTTCCTCATGTTTGGGGTATTATTAATTTACTGACCTGATTTTAGAGTTTTTTAAAATACTGGCAGCCAGATTTTGTTCATTTTAATGATTACTTCCTTTCTGTTGAAATTATTCACAAGCTTGTGGATTTCAATGGCTTCTCTGTGTAGTCTTACATGGTGGTTGTTAGAGTGGTCCAGCATTTCTGTGTTCTCAAATAATATGCTGTGTCTACATCACATGCTCAGCAGGTGCTCTGCTATGGCTGACTTCTCTGGTTGAATTAGTCTGCAGTGCCTTTCACGTTCCTTGATTTGTGTCTGGGCACCTTCCAATTCGGGAAAAAAGCCTCACCTGGGCATTAAAATATTCTATATGGAAAATACAGCAAAATGAAGAGTAGAACCTTCCAGAAATGAGGAGTAAGGTGTTATTTTGCAAGTGGGCAGGAGTAAGAAATGACATATTGAAAAAAATAACCTCTGTGGGTTCCAGTGTCCCATAAAACTGATCCTAGGGGCTGGATATGACCTGATGGTCCATCACATAATCTCAAGTTTGACCCATCTCTGCATATTTCCTTTTCCCTGTCATCCACAAACTCATAAGGAAAAAATACAATTAAAACACAGGGTGGCTAATAGTGTCTCAAATATTTTAATGTAGTTGTTCAGGAAAACATTATCTGAAAACTAAAATGATATAAAACAATTTTACAAAAATTAACATCACAGAAATCTATTGTTTGTTATTTTAGCATTAACATACCCAGAGGTATAAATGTCCATCTGATTTAGCAAGGTAAATTCTTTTCTATGAAAATTTCTCAGTTATCAAAATTACCACAATATAAACAGTAGTTAAGCTAACGTCACTTTTTGTCCTGGTTTGAAAGTTGCTCCACTGGCCCCTTTCCTCTTTGGATTTCGAAACGTTTCGTAGCTAAAAGAAGGTATGTAGAAAAAAGAAAGAAGAAAAGCAGCTTATTAGCATCTGAAATATACTTCAAAAGAAAATGGTAAAACACAATTAACCACCAAATGATAGGAAGTGGATAAATATGACAGTACTTTTTACCAAAACAAACTTTATATTGTGTTGTTAAAGGCTTTCAAGGCCGGAATCACTGGGTTGCTGTGAGTTTTCCGGGCTGTGTGGCCATGTTCCAGAAGCATTCTCTCCTGACATTTCACCCACATCTATGGCAGGCATCCCCAGAGGTTGTGAGGTCTGTTGGAAACTAGGCAAGTGAGATTTATATATCTGTGGAATGTCTAGAGTGGAAAAAAAGAACTCTTGTCTGCTTGAGGCAAGTGTGAATGTTGCAACTGGCCACCTTGGTTAGAAAAGCTATTGAAATCCTCAAGCATGTGACCAATTTCAACAGAAAGGAGGAAACCATAAAAATGAACAAAATCTGGCAACTAATATTTAAAATATTAGACTGTAGCCAGGAAATCAGAAGACGCTTACTTCTTGGGAGGAGAGCAATGTCCAGTCTCGATAAAATAGTGAAGAGTAGAGACATCAGACTGGCAACAAAGATCCGCCTAGTCAAAGCCATGGTATTCCCTGTAGTAACCTACGGATGTGAGAGCTGGACCTTAGGGAAGGCTGAGCGAAGGAAGATAGATGCTTTTGAGCTGTGGTGTTGGAGGAAAGTGCTGAGAGTGCCTTGGACTGCGAGAAGATCCAACCAGTCCATCCTCCAGGAAATAAAGCCCGACTGCTCACTGGAGGGAAAGATACTAGAGACAAAGTTGAAGTACTTTGGCCACATCATGAGGAGACAGGAAAGCCTAGAGAAGTCAATTATGCTGGGGAAAGTGGAAGGCAAAAGGAAGAGGGGCCGACCAAGGGCAAGATGGATGGATGGCATCCTTGAAGTGACTGGACTGACCTTGAGGGAGCTGGGTGTGGTAACGGCTGACAGGGAGCTCTGGCGTAGGCTGGTCCATGAGGTCACGAAGAGTCGGAGACGACTGAACGAATGAACAACAACAACAAAATATTTAAAAAAACTCTAAAATCAGGACAGTAAATAAAGTGTTACACCCAACAAACAGGGGAATTCCTGACATGAAACCATCAGGGCCAGCTAATATCTCCTAATAAATTATTTCCCCAGACAGGAAGCAGCCAGGCTTTGAAGCTGCAAGGCAATTCAATGCTAATCAAACTGGCCAATTGCAACATCCACACTTCCCTCAAGCAGACAAGAGTTCTTTCTCTTACCCTGGACATTCCACAGATATATAAACCTCACTTGCCTAGTTTCCTCTGAGGATGCCTGCCATAGATGTGGGTGAAACATCAGGAGAGAATGCTTCTGGAATATGGCCATACAGCCCGGAAAACTCACAGCAACCCAAGCTTTATATTCTTCAACTGGTTCTTTCACATTCTGGAAAAGTGGTTGCAATGAGCATTTTTACATACAACAGGGATTAAAATTATTTACTTACAGTTCAGTGAATTTTTTCCAGTCATCTTGACTAACCGATGGTTTTGTGTTTGCAAGTGCAGCCATTAGGTGATTCTGAGTAACGTTTACAGGTCTCTTATTTAGTAGTGACAAGCTAGGAGTGACTTCTTCCTAAAAACATATGTCCAAATAAAAGTACAATGAAAGAGATAATTAAGCTAATTTACTACTTTCCTTCATAGTTCCCTTGATTCCTTCAGCATTCTACAGAGCACTGTTTTTCTTTCCTTCAGTACTTTCACCATTGCTTAATGTTTACCTTGAAATTGTACAGTGACTCTTACAATTACTAACAATTTTCTTGGCATCTCATCCATGAGAAAAAAGAAGAATGAATTAGCTTGCCTATTTCTGAGAAAGCCTTTCTGAGAAAGCATTTGAAGCAATGTCAGACTTATGCACCATTAAGGAAAGATCTGAGACAACAACAATCTTATGTGTTTGGGGTTGGCAGGTGGCAACAAAGGACTAAAAATCAACAATTGTTATTGGTCAGCAGTTTTTGAATAGTTTCCTTTTGTGTAATTATGACTCAGTAGAAAAAATAATCTTTGTTATTAAATTTCTGCAATTATGACTTAAAAGTATACAATGAACACCTGTATAAAAGGAGAATTAGCACGTATTAATGTGTTTCTTACTCCATTTTTGCTCCTGTAGTTGGCCTTGATAGTGTTTATTTCAGCCCTGAGTTGCTCTATCTGTTCTTGACTCAGTTCTTGATAACCTTCCTGTAAAGTTGTTCTTAACAGTGGGGGTTGAGAAGATACTAAATCCTTCAAGGAGATGCTGGTTAAATCATGACTGAGGGAATTTGGTCCTGAGAAACACTGAGAACTCTGAAAAGATTAAAGAAAAACACACAAATATATACATATTATTAAGATGCAAAACACTCATTTTATACGGCACAGCACTTTAAAAGTCGTCACTACAATTGATATTTTATCCAAGGTGAGTCATCAAATAAGAAACACTTTAGGAAATGTATTGTCGAAGGCTTTCATGGCCGGAATCACTGGGTTGTTGTAGGTTTTTCCGGGCTATATGGCCATGTTTTGGAGGCAATTTTTCTCCTGACGTTTCGCCTGCATCTATGGCAAGCATCCTCAGGGGTAGTGAGGTCTGTTGGAAGTAGGAAAAATGGGTTTATATATCTGTGGAATGACCAGGGTGAGACAAAGGACTTTTGTCTGCTGGGGCTAGATGCTGGGGCTGCTGGGGCTGAAACATTCACATCTAGCCCCAGCAGACAAAAGTCCTTTGTCTTACCCTGGTCATTCCACAGATATATAAACCCATTTTTCCTACTTCCAACAGACCTCACTACCTCTGAGGATGCTTGCCATAGATGCAGGCGAAACGTCAGGAGAAAAAAAAATTGCCTCCAGAACATGGCCATATAGCCCGGAAAAACCTACAACAACCCACTTTAGGAAATGTTCTCTTAATCAGGCAACCTATTTGTAAAATGGAAACCTTGACTTATGGCTATTTTCCATTTTTTGCGTACTTGGCATTTACAGGGATTCTACTTGATTTGTTCTGAAGGATGAAACAGGAAGGGGAAAAAAAAAGGTCAGGGAAAGCATAAGAAGGAAACATCTGTGAAAGTGTGCATTGACTTCCCTCAAAATAATAATGCTTTTGGTAAGGAAAGCATGACATGAGGCAAGGACAGAGAATAACTATATGCTCTATTGGTACATCTGAGGTACATCTTTTTAAATCCACTATAGTCAAAATTGAAGAAAATGCAGAATAAAAGAGAGTTTTAAAGTGAGCCCCAAGAATTCTCTCCTGAGACAATAGCTGATCAAAAGAAACAGACTTAAGCACCCTTTTGACACCCTATACTGATAGATTTCTAAGAAAAATGTTCCAAAACATGTGTGCGTACTTTTTCTTTCAAATTTCAAGGAAGAAGATCAACTGGAGAAATAGTAGCAAGTTACCAGTTCTGAAGCAGTTCCATTGCCAAGCTCTGATTCATAGGAGCTGCCAAAGTAAAGTCGGTAGATGTTGGACCTTGGATCTTCAGGAAGCAGCTCACACATCTCAAGGGAAATTAAAGATTGCTCCAAGCCTCCTTCTGCGTCTCCTGCAGAATCATCTGACCCACTGCTTTGGTTTAAGAAAACCATTGAAGATAAACTGAGGTCACTATCAGAGCTAGAACCTGTGTCCTTGGGAGGAGATTAATAAAATTAGAATGTCTAAGGCTGCAAAATTCCCTCTACCTTTAAGTCAGTTATGTCCCTTGCTCCCTGCTCTCTGGTTTCTCTGACAGTTTCCATGACCTTAGTTATTTTAACATAGTTCTACTGTCACATTCCAGTATTTTCTCTTATTGTGAACTGCTTTGGAATCTTCTTACCAAAAGGTGGACATTTGGTATGAAGATGAGTCACTACAAAAGACAGTAAAGCTTGGCAAGTTGGATAACGATATGAAAAGATGTGGGATGCACTACAGGTGGATTATTAGGATTATGGCTTATGATCTGTAAAGGTCATAACCTATTGGGTAGCAAAGTTATGGAGGTGCTCCTATAGTTTATTGAGCAATGGATGATCGCTGGGCACATAGATATCTTGTTTCTATTCGATGCTTTCAGCAGACAAAAATTCACGTAGACTTCTTTTAAAGTAATGTGCTTGTTTTACTCATAACTTCATGTATTTTAATTTACAGGAATATTTCTTGCCAGGTTAAACTTTAAAATGTTTCTGTTTGTATCTTTTAACTTATTGTCTTTAACAGTTTCTTAAAAAACTATATTGCTCTCATAAGAGTCTACTTTCAAATAATTCAAGCATCAATAGTTTTCTAACTAGGTTCTTGTGGGTTTTTTTCGGGCTATAGAGCCATGTTCTAGAGGCATTTCTCCTGACGTTTCTAACTTCCTACATTGACATCTGACTGAAAAACAGACTTCTGTACTCAAGCTGACTCAAGACTTAACTGTATTCTAAATTCTAACACTGACATCTGTATTCTAACAGATTCAAGCCTTAACTGTCATTCCTCAGCTGTCATCATGTTCAAAACACGTTCTAAACAGACACATGACCTGCAGCCCCTCCCACTGCTCAAGTATATAGAGCTAAGGAAACTGCAAACCAAATATGACATACACTTCCGGAAATAAAACAACACATTAAAAACAGACTGGGGTCTTTCACCAGTGTCTCAAATCATTTCATTTATAGAACTACAGTATTATTAAATTCAGGAATTGAAGAATATTTAAAGTTTTTGAGTGACATACTCTCCAATTAATTAAGAAAAATGTAGAGCATTTTAGGTGTCTCTGACACCACATATGTAAGATTTCTAGCCAGTGATAAACATTATCAATATCACACCCATATTTAAGGGAATTCTTTAAATGGCAGAGTTCTTACCTGTGGCAAAGATGAACCCAAATTAGCATGCACTGCCTCTAGCTGGGCATTGTACAGTAAAGCTTTAAGGTCTGCTCCTGTGAAATTCTCAGTTTTTGCTGCCAAGTGCTCAAAATCCACATCATGGGCCAGACGGAGAGAGTGACTCAGTGCCTTTAAGATATCAAATCGGGAGGCCTAAGAAAAGGGAATTTAATCATATAATTAAAATACTATTTTTCTTAGCCCAACATAGTACCTAACATTTTGATTCTCAGTCTTGTCTTGTGATCTGGAGAAAGGGGCAAGGGTGAAGCAAAAATAGCACGTGAAAGGACATACTGACATAAACAACCTGATTTCATGGCAGGAACGTTCCCTTGAATTTTCCATGCACTTTCAAGCATCTTGACCCAGCCATGAAGGTATGCAATTCAATTTAAGATGAGATTTTCAGGAAACCTAATGATTCCTGAAACAGCTTTAGTATTAAGCATTCATAAGACAGCTCCTCAAATATCATATCTCAGGACATCTCTGGAAAGTTGCCCAAGATCTTAACTTGGCGAGTTTGGAAATAAGACCCCATGTGGATCCAAAATACAAGAGATCTGTGTTAAGAGGTCCCACACTCAGTTAAATGGCTTGCAGCAATTTCACATGCTTTGGGGGACCTACTGAATGTTTTTGGGACTTCCATTTGGGGCCAGTTAGGAAAAAAGGGGGGATATGGTTTCCCCCTGAGACCTGCATGGGACCAATCAACCTCCTCTCATCTCCTCTAGTTGAAAAGTAAAGAATTAAATAGAATTCACATAGAAGTGAGCTAGACCTAGTTAAAACTTTTTTTAAAAAAATATTTGATACAGTGATTTGTTTCTCTACCTGATCAGGAGGTGGACAATACAAGCATTTATCTAATCGACCAGGCCTCAGCAGGGCAGGGTCAATCAAATCAGGACGACTAGTGGCTGCCAGGACATAAACTCCTGAGGAAAAAGGGTGGGGGGACACACACAAAATCCTGTTAATAAAGAAGCTTAAGGAATGCTTTCCAAGCGGAAAAATGACAGAAACATTCCAGGTAGAGATAGAACATTTAAATAGTTACCTTCTAAGCTTTCTATCCCATCCAACTGAGTCAACAGCTGATTAACAACTCGGTCAGTTACACCAGTGTTATCATGACCTCGCCGTGGAGCAAGAGAATCAAATTCATCAAAGAAAAGTATGCAAGGCTTGGCTGCCTGAGCTCTGTAATTGAACATAATCAAGAACGAAGGAATGAATTACTCCTGCCAAGATGAAGCATGGAATATTTGGTATTTCACACCTATCATACATCCACCAGCCCTGTTTATTCACATTACTCCCTAGAAACCATTTTTAACACTGATCATGACAATTAAATCAGGAAAACAATAAATCTGGGCCCAACCTGTTAAATATATCTCGAACTGCTTGTTCACTGGCTCCAATATATTTGCTGAGTAGCTCTGGTCCCTGCAACATACAAAGATAAAGATAAACCAGGCTACTTAATTAAGCCAGCTACTTAACATACCGCTTAACAAACCAGGCCATTTAGCTCTTATTTAGTTTGAAGGAATGAAAGTAAGCAAAATGGAAGGGACAGCATACCATTTTATGGATAATAAAAAATATAGGTTTCTTCTACATTTGAAACAGATCCAGTGATCTCTCTCTGCTGACAAAAGGATATTTTATCAGACAGAAGTTTCAGCCACGAAAGGGGCAAAGGGGACCTGTAAATTTCCCTTTATTCCAAAGTCTCGCCCAGAAGAATCCAATAATTATTCAAATGTCTGTGGAAGGTTGGAAGGAGTTGCAAGAGGAAGGAGAAAGTGAAGACTGTATAGTTTTAGGTTTTATATTTGCACATAATTAGTACAATTTTGACCCTTCCGTAACATTTTTAGTACTACAGATACTATACCATATTTTGTCAAATGTAAGTTTCTTACCTTGATGCTGATAAAATTCATTCCACTCTCTCGAGCAACTACACCCGCAAGTAGTGTTTTTCCTGTTCCTGGAGCTCCATATAGTAAGATTCCAGTTCTCTGTCGTATGGGCAGGTTTGCAAATAATTCTGGATACTGAAAATATATGTTGTCATCAGAAATAGTTTCTATAGATATATTTTATACCAACTGATTGCCTTTAGTTTCAGGGCTGCTGAGCTATTTTATAAATTTATAATATGTCTTTGTATTAAAGTAGAATCTCGCTTATTCGACCTTTGCTCATCCAACGTTCTGCTAAATTCATAAATACAGTAATTACTACATAATGTTTTCATGTATTGAACTGCTTTTTCTGTCGATTTGTTGTAAAACATGATGTTTTGGTGCTTAATTTGTAAAATCATAACTTAATTTGATGTTTAATAGGCTTTTCCTTAATCCTACCTTATTATCCAACATTTTCACTTATCCAACATTCTGTCAGCCTGTTTATATTGGATAAGCAAGACCCTACTCTATTAATAAAATATAATGCATCAATATATCAATTCTTAGTAAGATCAACATCTGTAGTACAACCAATAATTTATTCTCCTTTCTTTTAAAAATAAAACCAATCAAACTCTCCTGAACTATGATTCTTTTAAGATATAAGTAAAAAGTACATATTTAAGCTACAGTTTATATTTTTTCCTCTTGTGATTTTCCACCGATTTGCCAGCTTATTTCCTCCTGCTCAAACAGGGCATTGTGATATTGTTTCATCATGATTAAGCTAACATATATAGTAATCACAGAGACTAAGTCTACTGCCTTGAGTAGTGTTTGCTTTCTCAAATGTGTTTACATTTTGAGGAAACTGGTATATATATCATATCCAATCTAACTATCTCTATGCCCTATTCTCCAAGATGAACCTACCCATCTCACTGACAGTGTGGATATAAAAAACAGCATCTATGTGAACAGACTGCAGCGTTGTTAATGTTTTCTTCACAAAACTATGGGCTATTGTTTGCACAGGGTTGGAAGACAAACCTAACCCTAACACAAATTAGTCAGATCTTCTACTCTACATTATGCATACACTGTCAATGAATGGAGTTAGATGACCCAAACTTGAGTGATTCTGTCCAAATAATCCTCTTCTGTTGCATCTTCCTCCTTTCATAATCTCTATGCAGTTCAAAGGGATGGGATGGTTTTTGCCCTTTAACAGTGTCAGCTGGTGGCTTCAAAACTGGGCTGGATTTTAAAGGAACTCTCCAGGGTGCTGAACCTACTTTGGTGATTTGCTTTTCCACTGAGTTAGAATCCAACTGTTGCTTATTGGCTTACTGCTTCAGTTGTTGCTTCCTTTGTTTTCAAAATCCCTCAGACCCATGTATAGCTGGATGAAAAACGTTGGACCTTTGAGTCAGACTTTTGATATCAAAAATCAATATAGAGTCATTCCTCCAATTTGTGGATCTGACTTTTGTGGATTTGATGAAAATGTTATTTTAGGACTCTCTAGAACAGGCGTGAGCAAACTTCAGCCCTCCAGGTGTTTTGAACTTCAACTCCCTTAATTCCTAACAGCTGGTAGGCTATTAGGAATTGTGGGAGTTAAAATCCAAAACACCTAGAGGAATTGTGGGAGTTGAAGTCCAAAACACCTGGAGGGCCAAAGTTTGCCCATGCCTGCTCTAGAACCTTCTGTATGACTATATGGTCAATGAGATGTTGACCAAAGAATCATGCTGGAAAACCTACGATTCTTGGAGTGGCTTTCTCTCAGAAAAAAATGCATTATTTATTAATAATTTTTTCCCATTTTCATGAGGGTCTTGCACCCTTAACCCCAGAGAAGGTGGCAGGTTGACTGCATTCTTAACAATCATTGCCATACAGTAAACAAAGTGTTATGAATATGATTTTGTTTCTTATTACAAATGCAAGAAATACCTTTGCAGGCAGCTGGATAGTATCTGTAAGTACTTGTTGTATCTCCTTCAGCCCACCAATCCGATCCCAGCCAAAATCCTGAGGTTTATGGAGGTTAACATTTCTCAAAGATGTTGGTGTGAACCCCTGTAAAGCTTTTTGGAAGTCTATTGTTGATAGAACCAAATCTATTAAAATGAGTAAAAAAAATTATAAAGCTCCTTAGAAACCTATTCTTTAATGAAATCTGTTAAAATTGAGAAAATATTAACTTTTATAATGTTTTATAAGGCATCACTTTGGTATACAATATCCAAAATGCTATGGAGTGCTTTGCAAAGTAAATCACAGCCAAAGGAAGCCACGTGTAAGTCTAATAGCTACATCCTACAATCCTATGCAAAGCAAAAAACAACCAGAATTGTAATAGCTGTTGATGAAACACAATGAAGGTAGCATAACAAGTACGGTTATCCATTTCTGAAAGGATCCAAATGCTATGTAACAAATGTGAGATCAGAAGACCTTGTCACTTTAAGTTGACACAAACAAGAGAATATTGACCGGTCCAATGAAACCACAGATAAACATTGTCCTGGTAGCTCAAAACATGGTCACGTTTAGGCTCTTTAATTTCAACTCCAAGTAAACAGTGTCACATAGTAGTACTAATCACCCTACTCCCTATATAGGCACCTCACTAGATCCATAGAATATTTGAAATGAAACACGGGTTTTGATTGCATCAACATCTAAAATAGCAGATTTGCAGGGTTCTAATAGGATTAGTTCCAGATAAGTTAAATACTGCTTATATTTTTACTGGATTAGATAATACAAATTGCTTTATAATAAAATTTAAAAAAATGATCGAAGGAAATTGATGGAATAAAATAATACATACCTTCTTTTTCACACCTTTCCTGGGTAGAAACACTTGAGTGTATGGCACGATCAACTAACATTGTCAAATCCCTAGCTACAAATCCTTCTGTTTCCTTTGCAATTTGATGGAGATTAAGATCACAGAACCGGTCTAAATTTGAGTCAAGCTTATTTTTTACTATGGACCGAAGTATTTCGTATCTTTGTCCCTGGAAAGAAAAGAATGGCACAATTCAGTGATTTAAAAAGCAAGGAAAAGCTACATTATATTTCAATGCAATATTTCAATAATTATGATTTAAGATTCATAAAATTCAGATGTGGATACTGAGCACAATTGTTTTACAACATCCTAGACAAAATAATTTAGAACACAAGATTTTAAATGCACTCTAGAGGAATATACTTTAAATAAATTATAGCTCATTATTCTTACCTGATTTGGAGAGGGGATATGCTGGAAACATTGAAATATGTGAAATCCTTGTGCAGAAATAATGAAAGAATTTAGTGATTGTTCAGACAGGCTTGTGGTGATAAGTGCAATCGAACTGTATGTGGAAATAGTTTCTTTTATCATATCTTTCAAGACTAAAATAAGAAGAATAAAGGACTTAGATTTTATGGATTGGTGATCATACAAAATAGAAACCACATCAGTGTTTGTTTTCTCCATAAATAGAATCTATTTCAAAAAATGGTATTTTTCAATAAAGCATTTTATAACTATCCCGCTAATCAATATATTATATGTTTAGTTTGCTTCAACTGTATTAAAAACTTCTAACTCCTATCTAAAATGATCGATATCCAATATACGAGGGGAACTCATAATAAAATCTTAAACTTGTACTAAACATGGAAGAGACTGTTTATAATCTGCAAATAGATACACTACACAATAATTAAATGTGTTGTTACCTGAACCTATGTGCTGACTTTTGCATGTCTCAATTTGTTAATGTAAAACATGAATTCTAACTATGTCTCAGAATACATAACATAATTGCCCAGCTAAAGCAAGCAGATTTAGAAGATGATGATTAGCTGAGAATCCTAAACATGTCACCTTCAGTTCCACAACAGAAAATCATGAGATGTTTAAAATAAAACAATATATTAAAATTATGAATTGAATCACTGGTTTCTGTGACACCTCTGGAAATATTTTATCTAAACAGAGAAGCTGCTTTGAACTAAAACTACAGAAACACATGAAAGAAACAAATCTGTTTTAAGATTCTACATGTATAAATCACAGCTTAGTTTGCTGTCAACTGAAGAATATATCAAAGTCTGATGACAACTTTTTGGAAGGTATAACCAACACACTCTGAACTTTCCATAGAAAGTATTGGGCATATAAAATTTAAAACCATAGTAATCCGTAATCAAGAGAGTTGTAAATAACTAGTGACACTATCTAGGTAGTAGATCGTACCATGGGCAAGGCGATTACTCTGAACAGCCTCAGGACTGTTCTCGTGTTCTGGAGCAAGAGGAACTCCAGCTATGTGATCAAGGTCATCCAATAGTACAACAGATGGTTGTCTCCACCTTGCCTCTCGAAAAACTTCTTCCAGTTTTTTGCATATGTTTTCTAACCTTTTCCCTGAAGAACAAATATATGAAGTTAGCAAGTGAAGCAGCTTTTAATGCAATTTATGACTTTGCAAGAGAGTGAACAGAGTCTTGCTCTTTTATAATTCTGATTGAACTCAGGGAGTTTCGTAATTATCCTATTACAAGTCTTTATTTGGAAAGTTTTAAGATCTGAAAATTAAAGCAGCTAGCAAAGGAAGTAATGTTCAAACTCTTCCTCAAATCATGCAACTTTTTGGATAACCTTGGACAAGACATGATTGCATTATATAACAACTCTTCACAGCTGTTTTGGGTAAAGGATAGTGCTAAAATAGTAAACTATTGTATACTGAAAATGCACAGTTGTCCACATACCTCTTAAAGGTTTGCAATCAACTACTTCCACATGGGCATCGAGTTTATTGTATGCTTCTTTGCAGATAGCCTTTGCTAGAGTTGACTTGCCACTTCCCTGAAAAATAAATTCAGACTAGAACCTTCACAAATCATACTTTGAATGAAACTATTGTTCCTATGAAAATAAATGTCAGAAATTAATTCCAGACAAGCTCCAATGAAATAAATGAAAATTATGAAGAATAAATTAAAGTTTTTTGTTCATGTTGTTATGAGAAACGTTAGTAAGGAGAGGTCTAGAGGTTGAAGTTTATTTATTTATTTATTTATTTGCGATATTGGTATCTTCCTTCTCAACCCCGAAGGGGACTGAAGGCGGTTCACAGTATTGGCAACAATTCAATGCCATCGATAAAACAGTATAAAACATTAAAATTGATCCTTCTCTAATGAAACACTTAATATTATTAAACACATCACATAAAATAACATTACCTATTACATAGAGACATAGCCGTTGTCATAAACAGTCCTGGGTCAATGCACTTTCATATGACATTAGCTTTCTTCGTGACTGGATTGAGATAGACCAGAGGTCACCTATCTTCCCCCTCCTCCCCCCCCATTTTTTCCCCTTTTTTCCTTTTTTTTTAAAGAGAAGGAAGTATAAAAAGAGAGGGTGCAGATAAAAGCAATGTTACATAGAAATGAAGTGTGTAAAATATGAGCACCAATGAAAACTAAGCGTAAGCAAGATATTGTAAAGTTGAAACAATAAAAATATTGTAAACCAAAAGAAAAGAAAAAAGAAAGACAGAAACGTATTTTGGATGCCAAGAAGTGTCAGATATTTACCTTTGCTCCAGTGATTAAGATACCTCCGCTGCGTAGTCCTGCAGATATGGGGGCAAGCCTTCGAGACAGTGGTCGGCCCAAAAGGCTGTGAGATAGGTGCTTGAAAGAGGAGGCTCCTAGGTCATCTACTCCTCTGCAAAGGAAATGTTAGCAAAACGGAGAAGTAACTTTTTCCATCCCAATAAAATCAAATAACATATAAGAAAAGGATGGTTGTTCAAGAATACCTTTGAGCTTAAAGAAGTCTAAAATAACTTTCCAGCCCAATTCTGCCTCCCATTCGTGGCCATGGCAAAACCATGAAATATTTATTAGAATGTGTAAAAATGCTGCTGCAGCCTAACAAACTCTTCACTGTAGCCACTGTATATATGATACTGTTCAGATAAAACAACTAGATGTGCACACGTTGTAACAGAAGGTGCTTTTACCTGTACACCAATTTGGGTATGCTATCTTGGAAGAATCAGACTCTCCTTTATTCATTGTTGCTTCTGATTTTGCCTAACTTTGTGGGATTAAAACTAACTGTGTGTTTAAATCCTGACTGGGCAGGATGACCTCCAGGATGACCTGTTTAACTATAAAGCTCTGAATAGTTACATTGTTCAATGTTCTTATACTGTGTTTTTCAAAAATCTTACAATTCCCACTTTATTTAATAGTTGACTTTTTCTGGCTTATGGTACTGTCAAAATGTCTTACCCCAAAGAATTCAGGCTGAGGTGTGGAAGAAACTTGTCAAAAGACTGTTCACTACCACCACTGCTTACTGTAGTCATTGGCTTTACTAAAACCTGTACAACAGAACATAAGTTACTATTTAGACATGAAGAAAATAATTAGAGATAAGCTTTTTGAGCTATAATCTTGTATTTACTTCTTTAGAACTTCTGTAAGCTTTATTGACCTTAATGAAACTAAGGGCCCTTCCAGACAGGCCTTATATCCCAGGATTTGATCTCAGGTTTTCTGCTTTAAACTGGATTATATGAGTCCGCACTGCCGTACTCCCAGATAATCTGGGATAAACAGAAAACGTGGGATCAGATCCTGGGATATAGGGCCTATCTGGAAAGGCTTTTACTTACTGGGGAGACATATATAGGATTGCACTACTACAGTATAATTGCTGGGGTGATACTGACTATATACTTTAATAAAGACCAGACTTATCAGATGTAGAACATAATATCAGACTAGGTTCAAACAGCCAGAAATATCATGAAGGAAAGAAATGTGCATGTCAAAAAAGCAGGTGTGTTTAACAAGTTTTCCCTGAAGCTAAATCTATCAACAACTGTAAATAATAAGGCAGGGAAAGAATCCAATACCACATCTAAAGTTACTACATGACTTTCACACTGTTTATACAAATTCGTCTTGACTATACAATTTTCAGCTTATCAATTCTATAGTGATTAAAGATGTCAAAATCCCTGAATATTAGAAAATATAAATATTTCACCCTAAAAGAAGAGATGGTTGGCAAATTATTTTGAGAGTAGTGGGAGAGCTACTTCACAGTTCCTTCTTTGAAAGCCTAATAAATCCCATCATTCAAAATTGTGATGGAATTTAAATAGAAAATGCTCTTAGAATTTTCCCCACAAAGCTTCATACAAAAAGGCAAAAAGAACTAACATGAAATAAACCCAAAGAATAAAATGATAGAATGTATATAATTAAACTATTGGATACCTGAAAAAAGCAATATTTACTTGTATATTGGCCTTCTGCAGCAAACTAGGACTCAAGATGAAAGTGTCCTTTGCCTTTTCCTCTTCGGAAGTGACTACACCGAGGACGAAATCTTCCTTACCTTTCAGAACACAAAGGGTATTATTAATTCGCCTGTGTCAGAAAGTGAAATGCCAGATTTTATGACTTTCCACATTTTGTATTGTATGAAAATAACCTATAATAAAATCTAGATAATTCAAAAGAAACAAGTGTTATGGTCTGTCAATAAGCCTTTTTAGTATCACATCTTGCTTAACTGGTGAGATCCAATTTGAAGATGCTAAGGGTGAGGTTCTTCAACATCAGTCTGATCTGATGTTATTAAAAGAAAATCTTAAAAATGATCATTTTCTCTATAACAGTTGTAGCTTATGATGCTTTTACTATATACCATTTCCCACATAAAAGGGTCACATTTTCCCCAACAAGTGTATTTTCCTCAATATATGACATTAAGTATTAAGTAACTCATTTGATTTTCCTCAATTAAAATGATCTGATTAATGAACAACATTTTTTTTTAAAAAAAATCAAGTTCATTTTCACAATAGAGTAACAATATGTTGGCGACCACACCTAAGGACATTGTTTTCCTTGTCATACTTTTCCGGTCTTTTAAAAAGTATTATTTCACAATGGAAAAAAAGGATGCAAAAGAAAAAGGGAAAAAGAAATGCTACTGAAGAAAAAATGGTGAGAGGACATTCACATAAGTATGTTTAGGATGCATCTGCATAGTATGTTAGGGAGAATTTAAATTCCCGAAGCCCTAAATATCCCGCAGATGCTTCTGGAATCAAACCACTTAGGATACCAAGGGCCGACTTTGATATCAAATAATAACTGTAAAGCAATTTTTCTCATTAAACTGCTCAGAAGCATTTTTCCAGCATTTCATATGCTGCTAACTTGACTAATCCACGAAGAATGTTACTGAAAACAAAATATAAGTGCCACATTATTTGCTTAAGTATTTTTTTGCTTAAGTTTTGTGCCTCTCTCTGTATGCATGTGTGTTTATTTTGCTGCATTTTTATTACACTGAATATCTTCTGTACATCAATGGGGAACAAGGCCATTTACACCCATTTCAGTTCCAAGATAATTTTTAATTTCTGTATGTATGTATTTTATCTTTTACAATTTAGCTGTAAATCGCCTAGAGCATTCTCGGATGGAGGGCGATTAATAAGTAATTAAATATGATGATGATGATGAAGATGTAACACAAGAAAATATGGAAAAGTAGGGGAAAGAGACTGAATACACCCGAAGGGACTATACATTGTCTATAATCCTCTTACAGCAAGGCAAAATAAAATGGAGGGTGGGTATGAAAGGTGATCTAAGCTGAGACAACCAGATCCATAGATTCTTAGGAAACAGATGTTTACTGTTTTCCTCACCTTCTTTAAGATCTAACTGTATATAGCTTGTGTTTCCTATAATCAAAGGAATGTTGATGTAATCCTGTAGCCACAAAGTAAAGGCCTTTTTAATATCATCTTCAACAATGTCTTCATTCTAAAAAGAAGCAGGGATGAAAGGATAGGCGGTGAAATAAATCTTCCTAATCATTTTACACAACAGATATTTGTTCAAAAAATCAACAACACATTAACTCATTAACTGAGGTCTTACTAAGCACAGATTAATTATTCTTTAGTAATAAGATTAGTCAAACAAATGTTAACAAAACATGAATTTCCTTAACTATAAACAGACAAGACACTAAAACCAGCTTGGCAAAATTAAACTGTAAACTCACTAAACTTCTTTCGGGGTGCAGTCTAAGATATGTTGGAGTTTTAGGATCTGAATTCACTGAGGATATTCTGACAGCTGCATGTATTTCTATTTGTAGTTTGTTTCTCAACAGTTCAGGTATCTAGAATACAAAAACAAGATTTGTGAAAGAACACATGCTTAAGAGCATTCTACAAATTCCACTGAGACATTCCTTCCAGTACCGAATTTGAAGAAAAATTTAATTCTATACATTCAAAGACTCCGACAACGTTTGAAGTATCAACATTTGCCTGGAAACTTGTGGAGGTGGGTGCGAGAATACAACCCTTCAGTTAATCAAAAGTATATTTGTAAAATTATGTTTGATAATTTGCGCCGGCAGGACTGCGGACTGAAAGGTTGCGGTTCTAATCTGGGGAGCGGGGTGAGCTACCATCTGTCAGCTCCAGCTCCCCATGCGGGGACATGAGAGAAGCCTCCCACAGGATGGTAAAACATCTGGGCGTCCCCTGGGCAACGTCCTTGCAGACGGCCAATTCTCTCACACCAGAAGCAACTTGCAGTTTCTGAAGTTGAACTTGACATGAAAAAAACTATGTTTACAGATGGCTACAAATTCACAACAAAGTAAAGTGAATAAAATGAATTTTCTCGGGCCTTCTCTCAACTGTGTATACTTTTCATGGATGATGTTGGTCCCTTTCTATTTCCAAAGGATGGGTTGTAAGGAGCTGAGGGCTGCTTGGGGGCACTGGACTGGCGAATCTCTGGGAAGGCATTTACAATTTTAATATTAATCAGAAAGAACATTTTTCCACATTTAAAACTGATGTAAATCTTCTACAGGTTTCTTAAATGAGACTAACCCAAACTCTTCCAATATGCAATTGCTCCACATTGTTATTGCACATTATGGCACTCTTTAGGTCCTCAAATCCACTCCATATTATTTGTACAACAACAATTTCATTGGATTCTTCACTTTTACTGATGCTGGGCTGCTTTTGATCTTTTGCATTGATCATCTGCTTTTCTTTCTTTGACATTAGATTCTGCTTTGATTCGTGATGCTGTTGTGTTGGAGAAAGCAATTTACTCATCTTCCCATAAGACACTTTAATATTGTTATCTAAAGAGGGGAATTCTAGGTGCCATGGAAAAACATGAATCGTGTTACATTTCTGAAATGTAGATGCTGTCAATGCACTTTGTACACTGGGGGGCTGAACGTGGCATACTCTGAATACAGAATCCATATGAATCAAGTTCAACAGGCTGTCTTTGACAGAATTCAGTTCACCAGTACTACAGGAAGTGTCCTGTTTCTTGTCTGAGGAAGAAGAGAAAATACTCCCAATAAAATTCCATATATTTGGCAGGACGTTTGCCCCTAGTGATGCTTTTGTCTCTGGCTTATGCTCATGAGCGTCCATATCTAAATTAGTTTCTTTGGCACCCAGTTCTTTGGTAGCTTCTCTTGGATCTAATGTGGCTTTAGGAACACTGTCCTGTAAAATGTCATTTTTGTCAGAAGGACCCATGGTGGAGCGTTCTCCCTGCTCACGCGGTTTAGGCCGAACAAAAAGCTCTGTCCGAGGTTCAAGTCTCCCATAAAGAGCAGCTGGTTTTAGTGCAACTGAAATTAAAGAGAGAAAACATTACTATAGGTGCTAACTATGATTACTCTTTCTATGCTATAGAAAGGTGAGCATGAAGACTTACCAATCTGGATATATATACAAGTGTGCTGTTCAACCCACACTGGGAAGATAGCCTTAGGAAACACTATTCGAATTTGGTCAAGAAGATGGCTTTCAAGTGAGGAAGCATACAGCTCCTACAATAATTTAAGCAAAAATTAGGAAATATTAGGAAATATTAAACCTCACCTGTGTTTGTGCACAAAGTTGGATCTGAACAATAGGGAACTCTTATATATAGTAAATATTAGGTTGAGAAGAGAGGAATGAAAATGAAGAGCACCAGAATGTTTTCAAAAAGATTAAGAAATCTTTTAAAAAGAAATAATTTTATTACCAATATTTCCCAATAATCTGCAGAGAGTGGTTCCACTTCTACTTGCTGACAGGACAAAACTTGGGAACAAGGCTGGAGGAATACCTAGCAGACAAAACATTTTGTTGTAAAAAATACTGTCAATCTGTGGAGAAATAACAAAGTTCTGCCAACAGTATTACTTTGCATTGGTATGACCTTTCGAGGAAACACCAAAATGCTGGCAATGGGGATAAACCATGAGTACTTGTTATGCTAGACTTGTGCCATTGAATGTGGCTTACTTTTCAGGTCTGTATAAATAACTTTCAACAAAATGCTATAAATTCTGTTCTTCAAGGACGGAATGGACATTATTTCCCTTTATTACTGTTCCCCATTACATATGATCACAAATGGCAAAGCTAGCAGCAAGCACTGTTTGCCACTGAAATTGTTGTAAACAGTTACATCTGCACATGTTAATATTGTATAGAAAGATTTATTGTATTTCTGATATTTATACCCCGCCCTTCTTTCCCCGAAGGGATTTCCAGTTTTGAGCCTGAATATTTAATGGATACAAAATGAGAAAAACATATATATGAATAAAAAGAACAAATGAACATACAGATAAATTTTCAAAGTTATTTATTCATTTCTTTCATTTCCATTTTGTCTTAATTCCTTACACTATTCTTTAGATTTGATGAATCAAGGCTATGTAAACTGATCTTAGATAAAGCAATTGATAGTATTCATGCTTGAAAAACATAATATTCTAAATTTCAAACCTGTTGTCCATCTTTGATGCCAAGTTTCTCTGCTAGCTGTCTGTTTAGTTCAACAATGTTGCCACTACACTGACGACAATGCCTGATTTCTGTCCAGCCCAGGAACACAGTCTGATTGTCCCAGGAAGTTTTCACAGCTTGATCCTGTTAATTCCATTTAAAATGAGAGAAAAGAGAGAGAGTAACAGCATGCATCACTCATTATTCTTTGTCTGACATCAACAAGTGGCTACAGATACAGTACTTTTGTAACTTGAGTCTATGAATGCTTATCTTAAGGGCATTAGCCTCCTAGCCCCACCCTCCGATTGTAACACTTTCCCTTGGCTCTATGTAGGAATTTGTTGCACTTAGGAATCATTAGCCCGAACCCATCATTTGTTGTTCAGCCATGATGTTGTTTGATTATGTTTTTATTTGGTTTTTTGTTGTTGATTATATTTTTATGCTTGTTCTAACCTGTATTGTTGGGCATATCCCTTTGTGCACTGCCTCGAGTCCCTTCAGGGCGATGGAGTTATTAATTTTATTATTATTATTATTATTATCTATAGAGTATTAACATTTCCCAGATGTTAATGTTTCAGAAGAGTTTCTGCTTCCTTGTTTTCTCTGAACCTTTTCCTTGCAGATTCTTTCTGTCAAAAAGATCCCCCATAAGTGTTTTCTTTGCTGTTTTAATTGTGATATTTTACTTGTATATTGCTTTTGCAGATACAGCGTAACAGGCAAATATGGAACTATGGAATGACTTGACGATGGGACTGGAAAATGACTTTAGTAAGAAGACGCTGATGATTTATGTTTTTATTGCTTTACTATGGTTTTTATATTATATGCTAAATGTTTTTAACTGTATTTTACGTCTGGTGGGGCATCGAATTATTGCCGACTGCAAACCGCCTTGAGTCACTCTCGGGCTGAGAAGGGCAGTATATAAATCACAGAATCATAAAGTCACAGAGTTGGAAGAGACCTCATGGGCCATCCAGCCCAACCCCCTACCAAGAAGCAGGAAAATCGCATTCAAAGAACACCCGACAGATGGCCATCCAGCCTCTGTTTAAAAGAGAAGGCTAAGAAGAGAAGGCTAAGAGGAGAGACATGATGGCCATGTATAAATAAGTGAGGGGAAGTCATAGGGAGGAGGGAGCAAGCTTGTTTTCTGCTGTCCTGTCGACTAGGATGCAGAACAATGGCGGAAAGGAGATTCCACCTGAACATTAGGAAGAACTTTCTGACTGTGAGAGCTGTTCAGCAGTGGAACTCTCTGCCCCAGAGTGTGGTGGAGGCGCCTTCTTTGAAGACTTTCAAGCAGAGGCTGGATGGCCATATGTCGGGGATGCTTTGAATGTGATTTTTCTGTTTCTTGGCAGGGGGTTGGACTGGGTGGCCCATGAGGTCTCTTCCAACTCTATGATTCTATGACTTTACACTGAAATAATAACAATATTATAGAACTAGTGTGGCCTGTTTTTGGAAATGTTAGAGAATTGCATTGCTCTGTGCAGTACTGTCATGAATGACTTTTCAATAACTTTGAAGCATAGGTTCTTTTTATTGCAATTTCCAGTATAAGAAGGTATATCAGATTACAGAATAACATTTAGACAAAGAATGACATTAGACATACAGATTCTATGCAACTACATTGGATTCATAACTACATGGCTAACAAACAAAGAGAATTACATTTTCACTCAGCATTCACACCACATGTACTCACATTCATCCTCATGCACCCAAATATTACCATATAATTTTCTCCCTCCTTGGAGAAGCACCTGTTAGGCCAGACCCTGCTTTCCTGCAGCCTGCCAATGCATAATTCCATAATGCCAAAACGTCTTTCCCTAAGAACAATGCCAAGAACCAGATCTCTGTTTTCAATACAGCAGAACCTGACTCCCTGCACAAAACCTAAGACTCCAAAAGCACACTTCTTCCTCTTCCCTTGAGAAAGAAGCCCCAAAGTGACCAGACTGCTCCCGTTCAAATCTGCCACTATCCATAGGTACACTATCTCTCTCCTTCCCATGGAGCAGAGCACAGCAAGTGAACCAGATTCGTCAGGTTGGTCACAATTTGATCATTATTAGACTGAGTCTTTTGTAGGAATATTCTGTTGATGTAGTCCCAAAGTTGTAAATTAATTATAGATGTCTTCCATCCTGGATCCATCTCAGTTTCCTGGCCAGATGTTGACTCTTCTTGATTGGTGATGGCAACCACAGGGCTTGTGTTGAATTCCTTCTTAACATAAGGAAGATTGCAAACATTTCCTTTATCAATGTCCCAGTTCTTATCAGGGTTTCTCACTAGCAAGTCCAGCAAGCAAGTAGTTAGTCATTGCAGGCCTGGGTCTTTTACTGGTATTTCCAAAATTATTAACTTCATACATCCTTCCTTCCATTCATTCCCACACATCATATTAAATTCATGTTTGTCAAATCTGCACATTGAATTTCTTGTGACAGTACAACTAGTAAAGCATGAACGTAGAATACTCTAAGGCGGGCCTGGGCGAACTTGGGCCCTTGGGGTTAGCGGCTGAGGGGGAAAAGGAAAGGGCCCGAGGCTGTTAGGAATGGTGAGAGTTGAAGTCCAAAACGCCCCAAGGGCCCAAGTTTGCCCAGGCCTGCTAAAGAGTTGCTATAAGTAGGAAACCAAAGCTCACTACGAGGAGGCAAGGACCACGGCTAGGCCTTTCCTGTTGCCAGGCAACGAGATGCCAGGCTAGGAAGGAGGCTGCCCAAAAGAGAGGCCCGGATGTCACCTCAGGGACACGGAAAGCGAAGTCCCGGATGCAGCCCCTGCCCTCCTGTACCTGCTGCAGACGGAGGCTGGAAGCCACGCCAGGCGGCAGGTGCAGGAAGCAGTCCCGGGCGCCGCTCAAGGAGACAGTGGCGGCGGCAACCCCAGGCCCGCCCGCCCCCCACATGGCGGCCTCCAAGGCGGGCTGGGTGTCACACTAGTGGGCCGCCGAGCTCCTCTTCCGGCTTCTCCGCTCAGGCCAATGACATCCAGAGGACTGCTTCCAGCCCGTCGCTTGTGATTGGCTTTGCTCCGCTCCGGGGGAGGAACCAATGAAAACGGGCCATCCGATTGGTGGTCTGTGACAGAGTGATGTTTACAACTTGCCTCCCGTTCCTCGCTTGTGATTGGCTGGGGCGCTTCGCCCCGTCTAATGCTTTCCTCCAATGCTGGGGCGGGATCAACGCAAGCTCGTCACTGGATTGGTTGTTGCTGACGGGCGGAAGAAGCCGGAGAATGAGCGGGTCGGAGGGAAAAAATGGCGGCTGAGAAGAGCAGAGGCGGTGAAGTCGGGGGCGCCCACCAGCACCACGCGCACCTGGGCATCTGCGCTTCGCGGGCCAAGTATCGCGAGGGGCGCCGTCCCCGCGCAGTGAAGGTGAAACGCCATCCATTCTACGCGCAGCACAGCCACACCGAAGCATTGGTGCAGTTTGGCACCTCTTTCGTTGCCATGGCTCAAGGCGATGGGATCATGGGAGTTGTAGTCGGCACTAGAATTGAATTTTATCTCTCACGCAAGAATACAAACCCCAGAATTCTGTAGCACTAAGCCATGGGGGTTAAAGTGGTGTCAAACTGTTATATCTCTGCAGTATGCTTGCGCCCCTAATTTCTAAATGTAGTGTTTACTAATCCCTGGCCTTCCCAAGTTAGAATCATAGAGTTGGAAGAGACCTCATGGGCCATCGAGTCCAACCCCCTGCCAAGAAGCAGGAATATTGCATTCAAAGCACCCCCGACAGATAGCCATCCAGCCTCTGTTTAAAAGCTTCCAAAGAAGGAGCCTCCACTACACTCCGGGGCAGAGAGTTCCACTGCTGAACGGCTCTCACAGTCAGGAAGTTCTTCCTCATGTTCAGATGGAATCTCTTTTCTTGTAGTTTGAAGCCATTGTTCCGCGTCCTAGTCTCCAGGGCAGCAGAAAACAAGTTCGCTTCCTCCTCCCTATGACTTCCTCTCACATATTTATACATGGCTATCATGTCTCCTCTCAGCCTTCTCTTCTTAAGGCTAAACATGCCCAGCTCTTTAAGCCACTCCTCATAGGGCTTGTTCTCCAGAACCTTGATCATTTTAGTCGCCCTCCTCTGGACACATTCCAGGTTGTCAACATCTCTCTTCAATATCTCCCAGAACTGGACACAGTGTTCCAGATGTTGTCTGACCAAGGGAGAATAGCATTACTTCACTGGATCTAGACACTATAGGAAAGGGCCTGAGGCTTTAGGAACTGTGGGAGTTGGACTCCAAAATACCCAGAGGGCCAAAGTTTGCCCAGGTCTTCTACAGTTGCTATAAGTGGGAAACGAAAGGTCACTACTAGAAGGCAAGGATAACTGCTAGGCCCTTCCTGTTGCCATGGCAACAAGATGCCAGGCTAGGAAGGAGGCTGCCCAAAAGTTTGCCCATGCCTGGTCTTAGGTCTGGGTATGAATCATGTCCACCGTCTTCACCTTAGCATTAGGATTCAGTGCTATCTGTGTTTTGGTGACTAGCTGTGAGCTGTATCACACTATATGATATTTATTGTTGAAGGTTTTCATGGCTGGAATCACTGGGTTGTTGTTGGTTTTTCCGGCTATATGGCCATGTTCTAGAAGCATTCCCTCCTGATGTTTCGCCTGCATCTATGGCAAGCATCCTCAGAGGTAGTGAGGTCTGTTGGAACTAGGATATTTATTTATCGTATCAGAAGCAAACCGAGGGTACAACTGTAATGTAATTTTTAAAAAAACACAAGAGTTTAAAAACTTGGCATTATACTGTTAGAGACCCTCATTTGGGCCTTAATACTTAGGTCCAGGCCTCGGGAGGTGCAAGGAAAGAGGCAGTCCCAGGAGGAAGATCAAAAGCAACGTTTTATTCTTTCATGATCATGAAGGAGTCAGAGAGTCGTGTAGGACACGCGCAGGTGCCCACACTTCATAAGGACTGCCGCGCCTTGACAAAAGCAAAGTTTTTTATACAGTCTGGCAAACAAGAGTGTTTTTGTCATGGAAAGTTACCCAGTGGCGCAGTGGGTTAAACCCCTGTTCCGGCAGGACTGAAGACGGACAGGCCACAGGTTCGAATCCGGGGAGAGGCAGATGAGCTCCTCATGCGGGGACATGAGAGAAGCCTCCCACAAGGATGATAAAAACATCAAATCATCTGGGCGTCCCCTGGGCAACGTCCTTGCAGACGGCCAATTCTCTCACACCAGAAGTGACTTGCAGTTTCTCAAGTCACTCCTGACACGACAGACAAACAAACAAAAAAGGTGTCTTTATTTCTGCTCCTCTTAGTCCCCCTCCTATCAATAGTTCAAAACATAGGTTTGTGCACTTTGCCTGGTTTCCTGTTGTTCTCAAGGTGTTAGGCTGTCAAAACCACAATTTGTTCTCTACTTGCAGACTTCGGTGTCGCGCCAAACCGCAAACCAATTTCCTATATAGCTGAGCATTTAGCAACTTTATAGTTTTCTTATACTTATTCCTCCTTCAATACTAAATGTCCTTTGACCAGTAGCTGGCCACTTGGAGTACCTCTAGTGTTGCTGTAAAAAGATCTTCCTTTGTGCGTGGGGCAGGACTCAGGCTGCATTGTAATACATGGTCTGTGCTTTGCTCTTCTCTGCACTCGCATGTCATGGACTCCACTTTGTAGCCCCATTTCTTAAGGTTGGCTCTGCACCTCGTGCCAGAGCGCAGTCTGTTCAGTGCCTTCCAAGTTGCCTAATCTTCTGTGTGCCCAGGGGTGAAGTCTCTCATTGGGTATCAGCGGAGGCTTGAGGTTCCGGGTCTTAGCCTGCCACTTTTGGACTCTTGATTGCTGAAGTGTTCCTGCAAGTATCTCTGTAGATCTTAAAATTTTTTCTTGATTTAGCGTTGGCGTGCTAGTTGATATCTGAACAGAGGATGAGCTGGAGATGTCACTGCCTTGGTCCTTTCATTACTGGCTGCTACTTCCCAGCAGATACGAGATGGTGAAATACCAGCTAAGCAGTGTAATTTCTCCAGCAGTGTTGGGTGTAGGCGTCCTGTGATAATGCAGCACGTTTCATTAAGAGCCACATCTACTGTTTTAACGTGGTGTGATATATTCCACACTGGGCATGCATATTCAGCAGCAAAGCACAAGGCCATGAGACATGGGAGAAGCCTCCCCGCAGGATTGCAACACATCCGGGCATCTCCTGGGCAACGTCTTTGTAGATTGCCGATTCTCTCACACTAGAAGCGACATGATTACAAGCATTGGATTCCATTGCAACTGCCATGGCTCCATCCTTTGGAACTGGAATTTGCAGTTCGAGGAAAAGTATTGAGCATTTAAGCCGCAAACTACTAAATGCAAAAAACCCAAGGTTTCATAGGGTATAAGTACTACAATTAAAGTGTAATCTCAGTGCTAAATAATGTAGTGAAACAAAGCCTTAAGTTGTTATCTAGGGAGGATAATAATGTTTGTATTTCTGGCCCTCCCAAATCGCAGAAGGCCTAAGCAGCTTGTTCAGTGCCAGGGATTCTGGGAGATGAAGTCCCAAATACCTGGAGGGCCACAAGCTTGACGCCTCTGTTCTAAAGAAATACTATTGTACTGGTAGAATCTTTTTTTTTTTAGATTTGTAAACAATTTCAAATTGGGTTTAAAATTGTCGCCTTGTGTCTTCAAGTTATTTCTCTATTATGCCAATCCCAAGGAATATCATAGAGTTTTCTTGGCAAGATTTGTTTTGAAGGGTTTGCTTTTGTCATCTTCTGTGACATGTTTCCTGTAGCCTATTACAGTATCCTAATAGGTCAGCCCCCTCCCTCCTGACCTTCAGGAAGAAAGTTAAATCTTGATTTTGGAACCATGCGTTTGCACAATGACTTCTAGTGCAACAATGTTTCAGTGCAATAATGAACAATTCAAATGAAAATGTTTAATGTATAAGTTAAATGTACATGTATATTAATGTGATTTTAATGTATATGTTGTTTTATTTTCATCTGTACTTTAGGCATTGAATTGTGCCTCTGTTATAAGCCGCCCTGAGTCCCCTTCGGGGTGAGAAGGGTGGGATATAAATGTTGTAAATAAATCAATAATACTATTTTCAAAATTTATGTTTGATATTGTGTGTTTACAAGTTGGGTTTGAGTCAGTTTCAGTGTCACACATTCTAAATTAGCTGTACTAGTTGTATTAGAACATGGCTTTACAATTTGAACATCCAGTTTAGGTTCCTATTGTTCTAAAACAGAAAATCGTTATGACTTGCTTCACATTTCCTGTCCCTGCGATCAACATATATTTTCACACATTTCAAAGAAGCAGATATTTGAGATTGATGTCATTATTACAGAATAAGTGTTAACATGGCTATGTTTTCCAGGTATATACTGTCAATTTAGAATCTCGATATCTCTTAATACAAGGAGTCCCTGCCTTGGGCGTTATGAAAGAATTAGTGGAGCAATTTGCTTTGTATGGTGCCATTGAAGAATATCATCCATTAGATGACTATCCGGCTGAAGAATTTACAGAAGTTTACCTCATCAAGTTTCAAAAAATACAGAGTGCAAGGTATTTCTAATTTGGGGGTGATAGCATGTATTCATTTGCTCACAGAATCCTTGGTTGTTTAATGTTGAGTGTTTCATGAAATACCACAATACTTGTGTGAAACGAACAACGCTGTTTTTGTAATGTCATTCATTATTTTAACTGTTTCTTATTACAAAAATGATCAGTAACTGTATTTTTTGACTGTTAACATCCTCTTTCTCAGGTTAGCCAAAAGAAAGCTGGATGAACGGTCTTTCTTTGGCAGTTTGCTGCATGTCTGCTATGCTCCAGAATTTGAAAGTGTACAAGAAACTAGAGAGAAACTACAAGACAGAAGAAAATATATAGCAAGGGCAACCAGTAACAAAGGTTTGTGACTATACATTTCTTTGGAAGTTTTGTTGGTTTGTATATTCTAGTAAAATCTGAATTTGTGGATTATTCCTCCACATCTATGGCAGTGTGATAAACTACTGGGTTCACACAGGAGGAAAAAGAAAGGGCTGGAAAACTATGGCATATGTAGACTGAAATATCTTTTTTTAAACAAGAAAGATTTTTTGGCATTGACTAGAAATGGTATTTGACTCTGTTGTATATATCCTTCATACTCAGTCATTCTGGTTCCTACCATGATACTGAACTGAAATTAAGGTGACATGAAATGCATCTTTGCACTTAAAAAAACTTTTGAAAATGGTTCCTAAGGGCTGTAGCAGCTGAGATTAGCTCTCCCTAACACAAGGCAGGCAAAGCATGCAAGGAACTACATGTAACTACATGCGATGAAGTTTTTGACCAAGGACTGGTAATCACGGACAACGATATTGGATCATGATTTTAAGTTAAGAGGTGCATTGGTCTGTATTGGTGGCCCAATACTGTGTGATTGTATATGTATGTGTTTTATAATTTTAATTGGAACATTGTTGTTTTTAATATTGTAAACCGCAATGAGTCGCCGTTTTAGGCTGAGATATTAGCAGTATACAAGTATACTAATAAATAAATAAATAAATAAATAATACAAAGGTTGTGTTTTTAGCCCATGGCTGCTCTAGATCAGGGCTTTTTAAACCTTTTCCACTCATGTCCCCTTTCCATCCGACAATTTTTTACATGACCCTAGGTATATAAAATAGGTATAAAAATCACACATTAATAGTAATCAGCATTTGCAAGGCTTGCAAAACAGGCAGATTTTCCTTTTTGTGGAGTACAACTGAAGCATTTTCACTGATTTTTATACGAGTTGTTTAAAAAGTTTAAGAAATATACTGATCAATTGAGTAAAGGTTCCTGTCTAGTAGATTACAAATATAATCCTCCTAGAGATAAAGTTTGTAGTCTAGGGTATATAAATGCAAGGAAACCCCCAGAATATTTTATGATGCTTGGCAAAATGAATTGGGGCTGCCTTAGGTTTCTTCCCTTCTGAAAAAACCTGGGCGTATAGTAAAGTTGCATTTAGAGATTATATACTACAAAAGGGAGTCCCTGGTGGTGCAGCGGGTTAAACTGCTGAGCTGCTGAACTTGCTGACTGAAAGGTCAGTGGTTCGAATCCAGGGAGCGGGGTGAGCTCCCGCTGTTAGCCCCAGATTCTTTCAGCCTAGTAGTTGGAAAATATGCAAATGTAAGTAGATCAATAGGTACCACTTTGGCGGGAAGGTAACAGTGCTCCATGCAGTCATGCTGGCCACATGACCTTGGAGGTGTCTACAGACACCCCTTGCTCTTCGGCTTAGAAATGGAGATGAGCACTACCCTCCAGAGTCGAATACGATTAGACTTAATATCAAGGGGAAACCTTTACCTTTACTACTACAAATTCTTCTGAGCTCTAGAGTCATCACATTTATTTGTTTTCGTATTTGGATACAATGAAGAGAAGAGCCTCAAGCAATTATGACTATCAACATCATTTAGATTCCTTTGCATGTGTTACTTAAATTGGGTTTAAATAATACATATATATTTGGCTTTAAACCACCTCTGAAAAGTTGAGTGCTTTTATATTAGATCAATTCAGCCCAACCTGTTTCCAATTTTAAAAAATTACCACAGTAATTTTAGCTAATATTATCCATCTTTCATAGGGAAGAATGTGAGCACCAGGTTAAGAAACAACTCTGAATCTTAATGTCAGTCTATTCCACTGTAATGCACTTATATGCATAAAAGCAACTGGTAGAAAAAAAGGCAATCTAAATGTTAGTTTCTGCTATCTTATGTTTAAGAGCAATTGCTGGTGAAGAAACAGGCTCCAACTACAAGTTTTCAAAAGAGCCTTCAACTAGACATTTCTGGATCTTATACTTCTGAGGCATCCACTAGTAACTGGAATTCACGTATGCATCTTCATGATCAATCATGCTATGAACCGCCATTGAAAAGTGCAGCGGTTCCTTCAGGAGAGCATTGTAACAGTGTGTTAGTAGAACCTCCGCATGTTGCTGACTGTGCAAATGGACCCCAATACTTCAGCCAGAGCTCAATAATCACTCAAAGTCTGCAGCAGGAACTACACAACACATCAGCCTGCTGCAACCTGCAAAGGAAGGCTCCGTATGATAATGGACTTGGCCGATTCATGCCTCGAACAACTCAGCTGCAAGAGCGAAGGAGGAGGCGAAATGAAGACAACAAACTTGCCCTTCTTGGAAGTGTCAGTGGTAGCAAAGAAATCATTATTGGCCCAAGGTTACCAGAAACACCTAAGATAGACCTGGAAGATGATTCACTGAACACCTCAGCAAACTTAATTCGTAATAGACTAAAGGAGGTATGTTATAATAAACTCAGGATTTTTAAAAATGTGTGTATGTAAAATTAGATGGAGATTGTTCAGAGGGGATAAATGTCTTCCATGTTGACTCTAAAGATGTGTTAACATTCATTTTCCTAATTCAGGAAATGAGAATTTTGTTTTTCATGCTTTACAATTTAAGAAAACTTTTTGAATTGATTGTTTTCTTTAATTAGTTGCTTTTTCCTTGAATCCCATCTTGGGAAAAAGTGGGATATAAATTCAATAAGTAAAATATTCAGATTGATTTAAAAATAATTAGGGATGCAGTTTCTAGGATGAAACTTATCAAGTGTTGCTCTGCTGAATAATACAGATTCTGAAACTGAAGCATCAGATTGTTTTTATCCATACTTAAGTGTAAGTTCCAGAGGCTTACATTCAATTGTCAATGCAAATAAGTGTAATCCATTTTAAATCAAGTGGGCAAATTGGTAATCAGCATTTATGTTAGTTCCATTGCCTTGGTTGGTCTACTCTGGCTGCAAATAGCAAATATATTTATGCTATAATATTTGCATATTTACTTGGGAACATTCCCAGGTCAAGTGATTTCCATTTGAAGCAATTTCAGACAATAAGTCATTTTTGTCATAGTTAAAATCAACAGTATGACATTTGTGCATTTTTTCCAGTGACTTCAGTATGCCCAGTAGTGCATTTTGCTGCTCCTGCCCTCTAATAAACCTGCATGGCTGACATCTAATAATATGTGGCTGCATTCCACATGTAACTGAAGTGGTGCATGTAATGTTATAGATTTGGAAATCTGTTCTCAGATATAAAGGATTATTTCATGAAGCAGCTTTTAGCCTTTCATCATTTGAGGACTGATAGTTAAATGGGAGCGAAAACAAGTTAAGACATGGCAAAAATATTAGACCCAAAAGGAATGCCACTTTAAATGCATTCATACATGTGAATTTCCTGTAAATTAGTAATTGATATGAGTCAAATCATATCAATTACTAAGAGAGCTGCCACTCAAAGTTGCCTTTCATGTACGATGACCTCAGCTCCATTTAGTGAGAAAGCGGTCAATGCTTATTGTCCCAGCTTGAGTGAAATGCTGGAGTGACTGGCTACATATGTTCCATACAGCAACAAGTCAAGGGTAGCTGCAGAACACGTAAAGAGAGGGTAGTGTTTATAATGAGAGTGGGAAAACTGCACTGTTTAGATTCTTTTTTGTGGCCCCCAGGGTAATTTTTAACACAAAAATGACTTTGCTTAGAGACAGCACTAAATTATCTAAACATGCTTAAGATCACAGAGATGAAAATGATCTGAAAGGCTATCTAGTCAAACCCCCAGACTCTCTACTGTGTAATTAATTCATTGCTCTAGAACACTTGCAGAATGAATGTATTCAGTGTACTAAGCTTAGATTTTTCTTTCCAATCCAGGTTGTGACTTCTGTTCAGACTCCAAAGCAATCTGAGGGGAAGCCCATGAACAGTCAAACAGAGCCAGCTATAAAGCAAAGGAGACGGATATGAAATCTACTTGTTGCATGTTTTATGTATTTAACTTGAGGCAGATGAAAGTTCTTGCTTTTTTTTTTTACAAAACAGTGTGATATGGCTTGATCTGAAAATACTAGTATATATTTATACATATTTTTAAATACATTAACAGTTTACTGTCATTTGGTTACTGAATATACGTAGTCCCATTATTTTTGGAATCGTTGAAGTAATACTCAGCACAAGGTATACAAATATTTCCTATTAATTTCTCACTTCTCTCTAGTGAGAAGTATATTGAAATCAACACATTTTGAATATTCACAAGAAAAAAGTACATTTATGACTTGCTTTATTTTTACTTAAAGAAAGATGATCACTGTCCTTTTCACGGGAATTCAAGTAGTATCCTTTGCTTGCAGAGCTATAACTCAGCTGTATTTCGGAATGCTTGAGTTTCAAATGCTAACCTGCACTGAAAAGCAAATGATTGGAACAAAATGTGAATGTTACAGAAAAGCAGTGGTGCTGTTTTTGCAACTCCTCCAGGATCCCCAGACCACTATTGTTCCGAACAATTGTACTTCATGAAAATCACCAAGGCTGGCAATTCACCTTTTTAAATAGGTTACACATTCCCCTTCCCAGTGTAACATCTCAATCTGTGCATCCCAGGTTGTTAAGGGCAGAAAGTTAGGCCTTACAGCCAGTGCCATTCCCCATCATGACTGATTTCAAAAGTAGATGCTGAAGATAAGCCCTCAAAATTAACACTTTCAAAAGAAGCCTATGACTCATATTAAAAAATAATTATACCTAAGAGTTTGAGCACACCCAGTGGGATATTAGGTTCTTCAGTACTATTTCAGGCCTTCTCATAGCCCACTACTGAATTCTGCTGCAATTTTGGAATGACAACTCTGAACAGAAGGCAATATAAACAGGTTACTGACACTGGTTGTTGCTGCATGCTTAAGCTTACATTCCCATCTCACTTGCTTGAGAGATTCATTGGCACAAAATTGTGGCTGCTGTCCTGAACTTTAAAGAGCAACCTATAATTTTATTTTATTTTTATTTATTTTGTTTTATACCCTGTCCTCTCTCATTGAGGGACTCTGAATTGGCAACAATTTGATGCCATTCAGACTTAGGACAATACGAAGTCAAATTACATGTAACACAAACAACACAAAACATTTCTAACTCCTCATATAAAACAACAGTATGTAATAACACAGGATTAAAACCAGCTATATTAAAATCCCGCACTATCTCGTTGCCATAGTCAAAGTCCATTGCCATTTAACAAGGTTATTTATTGTCTTCCCTGAAAGCTTCCTTCCAAACAAAAGTTTCTATTTGCTTTCTGATTATAGCAGTGATGTCCCTGGGGAGGGAATTCCAGAACAGAGGGGCCACTGTCAAGAAGGCCCTCTCACTCATTCCCACCAGCCGTATCTGTCTCAAATCTAAAGTACATGAATACATACCAATTTTTATACTCTGCTAGGCCATTTGTTCTAAAATATGTCTCAATATTCACTGTTCTATTTGAAAATGCTGTTATTATGTTTGGCAATCTTTCATGCGGTTTAAGTTATACAAATACCTTCATATCAGGTAAACATGGTCCAAAAGCTTCTAAAAGGAGGTTTTCATCTTTTACAGCATTTTCAAAATCTGCATAAGAAAGTTTGCCATCATGGTCATAGTCCTACAAAAGAAGTGAAAGTACAGCTGCATTTAAGCTCGATCCTGCCTCAATGATCCAATGGACCATGATAACAGAACTGCATTTATGCCTTGTAAAGTACTATGCTTTACTGATTCTTTTAAAATATTTTGATATTGTTGTTACAACTGCTTTGATTTGCTATTACCAATATTCCAGTTTCTAAAGATGTAGGTCTTTCATACTACAGAACTGTAGCACTTTGATCTTACTTAAACTGCCATGGTTCAGTTGCTGTACGCCATACCTCTGTATCAATGAGAGCTTGTTAAGAATATTGAAGTTTGGGTTCAAAATAACAATAAAAACAACACTTTATTTATATTCTGCCCATCTCGCCCCGAAGGGGACTCAGGGCGGACCACAGTACACATACACAGCAAACATTCAATGCTACTTTGTATAGACAATAGACAGAACAGAAGGAGGTGTGTGGTTTCGACTCAGTGTCCAGCGGTTTTGGTGCCGTGGAAGGTTGGGCTCGAGTCCAGCCACAGGGGGTGCTGTCGCTCCATCCTCTATGACGAGGAGCCATCAGGACTTCCTCCTTCCATTTGGTTGCCCGGCATTTTCTGATCTTTATTGCGTCGTAAAACACCTCCCCTGCTCTTTTAGCGGTAGGTACCTAATTTCTCTAATCAAAGCTAAAGATGTTTTTTAACTGCTTAGGTAAACAGTGAGCAGGGCTGGCAGTCAGGTGCTCATGCAGATCCAGTTTCGAACTTGCAACCTTTCAGATAATAGATCTTATAGTTGCTGGTGATTTACCAGCTGTGCTAAACATCCAGCCCTCTTATCTGAAAAGAAATGTCTTTTAAGTGGTGGTACATACCATTTTTTTCAGTGTTATTTCTACTAAATCTTTAATTCCTTCATCGGGATCTTCTTCCGATGGCTGTTTGAGCAGGCTGTTTTTCAACATATGAAACATTTCCTCTCGTGATATATATCCATCACTATTCATATCATAGACCTCAAAGCAGTCTTTAGAGAAAATAGCTGAGTTACTATAAAGCAGTTACTGAGTAATCTGAAGAACACTTAGACATTACTAAATTATATTTAAAGAAAGGAATGCAAACATCTTCTCTAGTAAATTACATTTTTAAGAATTTCCTTGTATTTTATCTTACGCCGTTATAGTTTTGTATTAATCAGGATAGCTGCATTTTGCCCTAAAGCTGGCTTTCTTTGCTTCCATAGTCACAACCTGGCATTTCAGTTAGACACTTACATTTCTTTTAGGTTTGCTGTACCACTACCAAGAATTTCTCTTTTTTTTTTAAAGGAAATTAGTTGTATACTTTTAAAATACTTAGATTTGTCCTTTAAATTGTCATAATTTATGACTACTATGGAAATCAGCTGCTATTGCATAAATCTTACATTTTATCTTTTCTTCTAGTGTTCCTCGAAGAAATATTGATAGGCCTTCTACCCATTCTGTTACGCTGATACAGCTGTCATTGTCTTTGTCAAAAGCACGGAACACTAAATGGTGAAGAAAGTGCATTTCATTTATAATATCTGTGCCAAGTCAACAGATCATTTGCAAGAAAATTCTACACAAAACTAATCAGAATTAAAACTAGTTGAGATTAATGGGGACATTATTAGCCATGGCCAGAAAAAAAAGACATTTTGTTTCCTTTCTTTATGCATCACTTGGAGAGACTGTTTCAGCTGACTGTTGGCAAAGTGACTCCCCAAAAGGCAGGCAAAAAATGAGAAACAAGTCACCTTTTCAGGGGATGGACAAGGAAACAGCAGTGCTGACAAGCCAGAACTGGGGCATTCTTCGTAGCCATTGGTGGCCATTGGTAGTCCATGTATTTTCACCGAGGAGGAGTGCAAAAACTGCCCCAATTCTTGTCACTGTTTCTTTGCCTATCGCTTCTTGCTGAATTCCTCCACCATAACTGGAAAGGCACCTGGAATCTCATTTTTTTTGCCATTGATATTTACCTTTTTTCAATCCATGTTCACATATATGTTTTTATTGACATTCAAAACACTGAATTGTAGGTCTGGATTAGAAAAGTAAAATAAATAATAATGGGTTGCTGTGATGTGTAATAATGATAATGTGTTCCATCTACTTAAAGGTTACTGTTCCATTTCAGAGCAATCACTACTGAATCAAACAGGAGCATTCTTAAACTGGATATATTTATTTTGAATGCCTCTGAGCATATTTAAATCATTTTTCTGCCTCTCCACTCTGAAACGAGAAGCAGCATTCAGTTTTGGAATATGTGTTCAAGCTAGGCAGGAGCCCCAAGTTCAAAGCTTTCGATTTATTTTTCCTATCAACTCCAATGCTGTTCAACCACCCTCTAGTCTTGAAAGCATCCCCTGCAATTAATAATGAACAACATCCTTATTCATTGCTCTATCGAATACTGAATGCCATCAACCAGCAAAATTATTTTTAAATTATTTTGAGAGAGAAAGAGAACAACTCAGCACTTAAAAGATTGTTATTCCCAATTTTGTGGCACAATTCCTTTTAAACTATGAGACTTTCAAAAATAATTTTCCAATATAGCATGCAAGGTAGATCATATATTCAAAATGAAAGTAAGTCCCAGTAAGCCTTTTCAAGCCCCTGAAAACCTAAAGTAGCAACTCTGGATCTCTGCCAGATTTGGAAGTAATTCTTTGTCACCAAGTGGGAGTTTTGAAAACATGTTTATGGAGTTCTATACCCATAGCTTCTCGTGACATTTTAAACAGTTGTGTTGTGCTTTACATAGCAGTTAGTCATCTTGCTTGCCTCATCACAGCAATAAAAACATGCTTGTCATGGCGTATATTGCCCTATATATATTGTCTAAGGCTTTCATGGCTGGAATCACTGGGTTGTTGTAGGTTTTTCAGGCTGTGTGATTATGTTCTAGAAGCATTCTCTCCTGACATTTCACCTGTATCTATGTGAGTCATCAATACCTCTGAGGATGCCTGCCATAGTTGCAGGCGAAACATCAGGAGAGAATGCTTCTAGAACATGGCAACACAGCCCCAAAACCTACAACAACCCATTGCCCTATATGGCAGAGACTAGCTCAATGAGAGATGGTGTAAATATGTCTAATATAAATGACTCTTCTCCATTTTATGTTAATGCAATTTGGTGTGAATATTGACACACTGAATTATTTGGGTTATTTGGGGCACTTATTCAGAAAATTACATTGGATAGACCTCATCAGATCTGGTTTCTTAGATACGATTATCAGAATTTTCTATGGGTGAGCAGATGACAACTGCTATGTGGCATATGATCTGTATCTTAAAAACCAGAGCTGACAGGAAAATGGTGCCATTTTTGGAATCGGGTCAAATACACCCAGGGAAAAGGCCTAGCATTTGAGGCACCAAAATGTGTCCTTGTTTGCACAACAAACCCAAGTTTCCAATGATCACAGGAACAGAAAGTGAGGTGAGGGGCACAGGCGGCAAAATGAACACCACAGAGGTGGTGTTCCCTATGCTATATGAACCTAATACAGTAGAGTCTCTCATCCAATGTTCTGTACTATCCAACACAGTCTGCCTCCCACCTGGAATAATGTCCAGGGTGAAAGAAAGACCTTTTGTCTGTTTTGGTGCTAAATTCATACATACAGTAATTATTACATAACGTTACTGTGTATTGAACTGCTTTTTCTGTCAATTTGTTGTAAAATGTGATGTTTTGGTTCTTAATTTATAAAATCATAATGTAATTTTATGCTTAATAGACTTTTCCTTTAATCCCTCATTATCCAACATTTTCACTTATCCAACGTTCTGCCAGCCCATTTATGTTGAATGAATAAACAACAAATTTGGCTGGGGTTGTTAACACCTAAAAATGTACCTGTTCAGACTTACATGCCAATTCAAATTAAGAGCAAACCTATGGAACCTATCTTGTTTGTAACTTGGGAAGTGCCTGTACTTAAGATTTACAAGAAGGTATTCAATCTCACCTCTGTCCATTATCATATCGTCTGTCATTCCAAACGTGTCATGAAGAATATTTCGAAACGAGTTGCGATCCAAACCAATACCAGCGTATCTGTCGCTGGGCTCCACTTCCAACTGGTTGAAAAGCTTTATGAGGCATTCCACTTCAAATTTATTGACTATGAAACAAGTGATTATGATAATTAAAACAGAAAAAAAAGGAACACTGCCAATTGCCTGTGGCTAGGTGAAGTGGCTTTCTGTCATGTGACTGGGAAAGGAACCCCTGGTGCTGCAATGAGTTAAATCCTTGTGCCGGCAGGACTGAAGACTGACAGGTCGGAGGTTTGAATCCGGGGAGAGCGCGGATGAGCTCCCTCTGTCAGCTCCAGCTCTCCATGTGGGGTTATGAGATAAGCCTCCCACAAGCAGAGGCGGCCCTAGGTAATTTTCAATAGTAAGCAAACAGTATTGCCCCCCCCCCCCACCAATCACTGATATATATTTTCTGTTTGTCATGGGAGTTCTGTGTGTCATATTTGGTTCAATTCCATCATTGGTGGAGTTCAGAATGCTCTTTGATTGTAGGTGAACTATACATCCCAGTAAATAACGGTTCTGGCCCAAGTTACCTATCCGAACGTATCTCTGCCTATCAGCCCGCCAGGACCCTAAGATCTTCTGGGGAGGCCCTGCTCTCTATCCTGCCTGCTTCACAGGTGCAGCTGGCGGGGACGAGAGACAGGGCCTTTTCTGTGGTGGCCCCCCGGCTGTGGAACGCCCTTCCCATGGAGGTAAGATCAGCCCCCTCGCTGTTGGTGTTCTGAAGATTAAAAACTTGGATGTTTGAATGGGCATTCAGTTAAACAGTACAATTAATGTGATTACAGGAATTGGAAAATCGGACGACGAATTGGATCATGATTCTTGTTATGAGATGTATTGTGTTATCTACTGTTGTGTTAATATTTTATATTATGCTTTTGTGGTTTTATATTGTATATCGTGTTGATTTTTATTCTGTTGTAAACCGCGTTGAGTCGCCTGTTTAGGCTGAGAAACTGCGGTATACAAGCAAAGCAAATAAATAAATAAATAAAATAAATACAACTCGCATATGTCAAGGTCTATTTTCCCCCAAGAGCGCCTCAAGAGCGCCCCTGGGCAAAATCAACTATACTGCAAATGCTTACTTTGTGTAATGGGTTGAGCCGCCCCTGCCCACAAGGATGGTAAAACATCCAAACATCCAGGCGTCCCCTGGGCAACGTCCTTGCAGACAGCCAATTCTCTCACACCAGAAGTGACTTGCAGTTTCTCAAGTTGTTCCTGACATGGCAAAAAATGTGACTGGGAAAGAAAGGGAGTGAAGCAGATAGGCTACTGCTAGGTGATTTATGTATCAGGAGACGCAGAAAGGAAGGAAGGGGGAAAGAAAGAAAGAAAGTAATGAAGAGGGGGGTTGAAGGAAGAAAGAAAAAAGGAATGGAAAGAAAGAAAGAAAAAAGAAAGAAAAAGAAGTAAAACAAGAAAAGGGAAATATGGGGAGGGAAGGAAAGAGAAAGGGAAAAGAATAGGGAAGAGAAAAGAAGGAAGGAAAGAAGAGCGGGGAAGGTGTAAGGGAAATCAAGGGAAGAAGGGAATAACGAAAAGAGGAAGGAAGGGAGGACAGCAAGGAAGGTTAGGGGAAAGAAAGCAAAAGGAAGGGGGAAAACATGATGAGAAAAGGCAGGGAAGAAGGACGGTGTATGGGGGAAAGCAAAGGAGGGAGGAACGGAAGAAGGGAACGGCTGCAAAGAAAAGTATGGATGTGGAAATAGGTAAGATAGGGGTCCTGTCTGCATGAAAGAAACCCGAGAGGCCTGCCCCACGCTCACTCACAGTGCTTGGCGGTCTTGCAGAGAGACTCGGCTAGTTTCTGCAGCTTCTTCCTGTTCATCTTGAGCTCTGTGCCGGACCGAGGTTACCGTGGCAACGGAGGACTCCGGCCTCCCTGCGGCCAAGAATAGAATGCAGGCCTGGGCAAAGTTGGGCCGTCCTTCCAAGTGTTTTGGACTTCAACTCCCACCATTCCTAACGCCCTCAGGCCTTTTCCCCCTCAGCCGCTTAAGCGGCTGAGGGGGAAAAGGAAGGGGCCTGAGGTAGGCTGTTAGGAATGGTGGGAGTTGAAGTCCAAAACACCTGAAAGGAAGGCCCAACTTTGCCCACAGTTGCTCAAAACACACACATAGAATCAAGAGAGGCGGGGACCTTTTAAAACAGATTTTTACTAAGTGTCTGGCAGTAATTCTGTATACCGAGACATAGGTTTGCATAACAAGGTTCTGCCACTGAACTTGCGTCGAGTTAAAATCAGCTTCAATATGAAGCTGGTTGAAACCACCTCAGCTTTGTACATGCTAAATATCTTCAGCAAGGGTGCGCTTAAAACATAAGCACGTATGCAATAGGAACTCATATCTGTAAGTAATGCGGTTATGCGGAACATAATTTTTAAAAACCCACTGATTACGACAGTTTTTTCCCCCCTATTAAGTTTAAAATGGTACAAAATCATGCAATTCTAAATGCCTTAAATGACACACATCACAATTGAAGAAAACAAATGTCAGGAAAAGTTGTTAAACTTAACATCGCTTCAAATAATGCTTATCTGTATTATTAGCACAGTATTCAGTATTATTTTAAATCAATAGGAGTAAAAACATCACATTCTGGATGCTGCATTAGGTCGATGTTTTTGCTAGCAGCTTATGCTACGTATATAGAATAAACTGAGAACCAAACTAGATAGGAATGAATAGCCAGATGTGTCGCCTGTTGTTCAGACATAAAGTACAGGGATACAAGAATGACATAATTATACACATGAATGGGGCAGCTACATAAACAAAGTAATGTGGCGACCCATCTATCCTTGTCTGAATAATATTGACGCAACTGCTCTTCTGCAATTCCCATTGCTTTTAATGAGGCCTGCATAGGAAAGGTTCTCAAGGAATCTAGCACTCAGAAGAAAAAGGCTTCTGAAAACACCTCTGGAAGCACATCGACAGTCTCAACAAACACTGCTATTTGCAAAGATCAAGATATGCCCTCTACATCCTTGAAGGCATGAATACTCCATGTCCCACCTGAGAAAGTGGGAGCAAAACTACACAACACATATGTACAAAAGTAACACCTGGGTGTTACTTGTATGTTCTCGTTTCAAATATGGCATCAATAGTAACAAAAATGTCATAGGATTTGATATGCCATACAATCACTTTTAAAGGGGATTTCGCAAAAAATCTTCACCATGAAAATCTTCATTGCCAGAGGGTTAAAAAGGAAATGCCCCAAACCCGGTCTTGCTTATGGATCTACCAGGAGTTCTGAGGCCTACACAAAGTGTTGCTTCATTTATTACAGCTCATGAAGCTTATCCACATGCAGAGTTCTTTTCATAAGTGAATATGTTCTTTTCCTAGCAACACAGGATTACACCTGGCTGTAGGAGCTACATGTGTGCATTAAATCTCTTGAATGGGAAAAACATTTTCTGTAACAATCCATCTGATTCTGCTTTTGAATCATTTAAACCTTCTGTAGGACTTATTTCAAAACATTCCACACAAGCTATTGGAGGGGAGGGTAGTACATGTAATATATTAAGCATCAGGCAACATCAATGGCTATGTCCAGCCCAATGGCACCAGGCAAGCTGAAAGTGTCAAATATTTTGTTCACACACAGAAGAGCTCATGCAGTTGGTAGAGTTCATCATAATGTTCACAGTTTCAGTTCTTTCTAGACTCATTGCACTTTTTGAGAAGGAAAGTAAGACTCTTGACTGGTGTTATTCTGAGTGAGAGCTTGAGCTAGCTGTCTTCTTTTTCTTCTTTTTGCCGTGTTTCTTGTGTTTCTTTCGCTTTTTTGTTTTATCCTTTGAAAAAGAGAAATATTAGAAACAATTTCAGGATGCTGGAACCAAATGAGTCAAATTCCGGGCTAGCTAAGTATTATGTGCTTTTAAAAAACAATCAACCAAGGCCACATTCAACATTAAGAATGTTTAGCGACAGAGCTACAGGTACGAAGGAGATTCGTTTACATGAACATAACGCTCTGGTTCTCTAAGAAAGAAGTCCTTTTGTATCTGCAAGGCCCCAATATAATATTAGCTTCAAACAAATCTCTATATAAAATTCAGGACATCTTGATTGAAGCACCCTTCCAAAGCAAGGATAGTATCAATATATCAAACATTCTGATTTACCATTATTTTCATCTTTATTACCATGCAAGTGTTTGGAATTCAACCCCACTTTGCCCCAGTTTTCAATGAGGAACAGTTTAGTTAGCTTAGAATACTCTGGGGTTTTTCCTTCCATCACTCATTCTGATTAGTTGTGTAGAATTGATACTTTTCTATTGAAAGCCTTTTAAAAAAAGGCTTTCAGATTATCTGCTTTGAACTGAATTATATGAGTCTACACTGCTATATAATCCTGTTCAAAGGAAATAACCTGGTTTTTTCTGGTAGTATAGAAGGGGCCTTGATGTCTTGGAGTAACAGAATAATGCTTACGTTTCTCTCTTTTTCTTCACTGCTCTTCTTCTTTTTTGCTTGTACCTAAGGGAAAAATGATGAAATAAACATTTAATGGACAGAATAAGTATTAAAAATGCTGAAACAGGAAAATAACACACTACCATACTACATAGTAACCATTTCATGCTCTCTAAAATTTCTTCTATGTACCAATCTCCCATTTTTCAGTTAAAAAGAGTAGATACTGAACACTGCTTCACTTCAGTGCTAGGGCAGCTACAAACATACGTTCCTCTAAATTTAGTCTGGAATGGCAGATACAAAAGGAAAATTCATCCCTCACCTCCAAGAATGCACATGACTAAGATCTTAACTTCCCAGGTATTGTTTTACTAGTTCAGTGCTTTTTGTATGCATACCAACCTCTTCCGAATGCTCAGATTCTGATGAGGACTCCGATGATAATAAGCCATCCCCACGATCTGTGTTTTTCCTTTTCCTGCTAAGACTTTTGGTATCCTAAATACAATAAAAGACACATTTATTTATTTACTGTATTTATATACCGCCTTTATCAGTCCAAAGGTGACTCAAGGCGGTTTTAAATGCAGACAAATCGGAGACCTTTACCATGCTCAGTGTAAAACACCCCAACAACAGTATTTAGTACTTTAATTTCTTCATGGATTACTGCATATACTTGAGTATAAGCCAAGGTACCGTATTTTACCACAAAAAACTGGGAAACTTATTGAGTCAAGTATAAGCCAAAGGTGAGAAATGCAACAGCTACTGGTAAAACATAGAGTAAAATGTTTTTTAACAGTCCACTCTTTCTGGGCACTGAGTGGCCAATACCTGAGTCACCAGAATCTCCTCCGGCTCCTCCCCCTACAAAGAAGGGGAAATGTGAGGCCTTTCCTTCCTCCCTCTCAAGCATTTCTCGTTGGTGGCAGAGGGAGCTGCAGCGACGGGCTTACTCTGTGGCCTTGCTTCCCTCCTAGGAGAAAGCCTGCTGCCACGGCTTCCTCCTCCATCGACGAGGAAGGCGTGCGTGGGAGGAAGGAAAGGTCTAGTGTTTCCCCTTCTTTGGCAGTGATAGTGGAGGGAAGTGTTTTGGCGGCGAGCTTTCTCTGCTGTCTCACTCCCCCCCGAAGAAGGGAAAGCACGAGGTCTTTCCTTCCTCGCCTCACAGGTGCCTTCCTTGGCTGTGGCGGCAGAAGATGGAGCAGCAGTGGCAGGCATTCTCCTCAGATGGGAGAAGTGCCATGGAGAAAGCCCGGCACTGTGGCTCCCTCCTCTGTCACCAAGGAAGGCGCACGCGAGGGAGGAAGAAAAGGCCTTGCACTTCCACTTCTTCGGCAGAGGGAGCCGCAGTGATGAACATTCTCAGTGGCCTTGCTCCCTTCCAAAGAACGGAAGTGTGAGGTCTTTCCTTCCTTCCTCCGCGTGCATGTCTTCCTTCCTTGGTAGCAGCAGAGGAGGAGGGAGCCACAGCAGTGGTGATTGTCCATGGTCTAGCTACCTTCCAGACTCGGAGAAGGGAAAGGTACTTGGGGGGCAAGGGTGAAGGAGAGCTGGCATGCTGTGAGAGGTGAGGGTCCTGGTGGGAAGGACTTTCACCTGAGTATAAGTTGAGGGAAGCTTTTTAAGCCTGAAAAAAGGGCTGAAAAACATGGCTTTTACTTGAGTATATACTGTAATTGTGCGGTAACATAAAAGGCTAAGCTAAAACCTGAAAGAGAGAACATAATATAGCAGTTCCTTGGTATCCAATGTTATTTGGTTCCAGGACACACACCCCTCCCCACCATAGATACGAAAACCAGTGGATGCTCAGGTCCCATGACGGTGTAGTAAAATGACAAAATCAACTTAAGAGTCAGTGACGTCTCAACTTAAGAGAGCCAGCGCTGTCTAGTGATTTGAGCTTTGCACTAAGATGGTGGTTTGAATCCTTGCTCATCCATGGAACCTCACTGGGAGACCTTGGACAAGAAGAAGGGCAAGGCAATATCCCTGCTCTCCACTGGACACATCTTGCTAAGAAAACCCTGTGACAGATTTGGCTTAGAGTCAGAAATAATTTGGAGACACAAAACCACCACCTTAGATCTAATCTAATTATTACTAGTTATTTTATTTGTGTTTGAGAAAATCAATAGAACAGACAAACAGAGTTCATTTAAAGCACTGGTTCTCAACCTGTGGGTGCCCAGATGTTTTGGCTTTCAACCCCCAGAAATCCTAACAGCTAGTAAACTGGCTGGGATTTCTGGGAGTTGTAGGCCAAAACACCTGAGGACCCACAGGTAGATAACCACTGATTTAAAGCATAAGAAACTACACACAGATGTAAGACAGATTGAACAGGAAGACAAGAAAGACTCAGTGGTAACATCTGTGGAGCGAATGTGTATCTCAGCTGGTCCAACATGAACAGTGTAGAAAAGGCATGATACAATTGTGAGCTAATATTAGTTCTTGAAATAGAAGCTGTTCCTAAAAGAGTCTTTACAGCAAGGGTGAGGAAATCAAAGCCTTCCAGATGTTTCTTGACTGGACTTCAAAACATTCTTCAACATTATCTGTGCTAACTATGGTTAACAGCAACTGCAAAATATGTATATATTTGGCTGGAGTTAGACTTTAAAATGTACCTGTTCCAACTTACACACAAATACAACTTAAGAACAAACCTACAGAACCAATCTTGTTCATAACAGTTCGTAACTGTATTTTGATAGTGCATTCCTGCATGGCAGAATGGGTTGTCTGGATGGCCCTTGTGGTCTCTTCCAGTTCTGTGATTCTATTACTTATTTCTGTTTATTCATGGGAATTTGTCAGCCTTATTCTTAGTTTGTAGATACTGTTGAGGAGCAGTTAGTTTAGTATAGGCTGAAGGAATTCCCTTCCCGTGTGTCTCCTGTATGACAGTTGGAATGTATCTAATTTCTTCTCTCCTCTGTTTCTGCTCTCATTCTGACTGGTTGTTTTAAATGGATACTTTTCTACTGCAAGCTTTTTGAATCTGACTTCTCCCTTCTTACACTTTAGTATGTGCTGTGTGCTTTGAGATCTCTCACTGCTTTTGTGTCAAGAGAGATATAGTGACTGAGTTTTTCCCTCTCTTGAAACCTTAGAAGAGATGGGTGTTAAAGTAGCTCAGATCCAGTTCTTGATTATTAAGAAATGCAGTTATTTCTTATTATTGTAAATAAACCTTTTGTGATTTTTTAAACATGGGACTCTGTATGTTTGCCTCCTAAGCTCTGCATTTTTTACAACCACAACCAATGGCACTTCACACATTGCTAGCTGTGAGCTGCTGCTCAACTTTTTGTATCCTGGTTATGTTTTTGGATGCTCTTCTTCATTTTAGAGTAGTTTTCGCTAACAGAAACTACATGCAAGCAGCCCACTTGGCTAGATAAATTATGACAGTTTAAGAGTTATGGCAATATAATAAGCTACAAATACAAGTAAAGAGTCATTTTCTTTCAGATAGATCAGAAACTGCTTAAATGTTAATCACTATGATCCTGGTATTAATATTGCCTGCTTTCAGCTGCAAGATTCAAAACCTTTCCAGTGTAGAGGAGAGTCCTATGCAAATGTTAAGATAATGGTTTAACAGCGTATGAAAGCATTACCTTTTCTCTTTCAGAGTCTTCCTTTGACTTTTTATTTTTCAAGCTGTTCTAAATAAATGTTTAAAAAAACACATAGTTAGGTCCTAAATGGTTTACTGTCTTCTGTCATTGGCTGAAATAAATCAATGCTAGCTGATGTTAAGTGGCAAATACACTCACTGTAGAGGTTAAAACAATACAATGGAAATAGGATGTTCAAAAGAAAGTTGAATTAAAATATAAACAGACAATTTAATCTTACTGCTATAGAGAAGTCTGGCTCACTCTTGGTTGGCCAAGAGTTAGGTGAATATAGAGCAAAACACGCAAAAGGGGTTTGCAGATTTTGTTCATGTTCTCACTGTCATACTTTTAACTAGAACTGATTCAGTCTATTAAGAAAGTTAGGAATATTAGGAATGCTTTAAATATAAAGAATGCATATTTTCATCCACAGCAGGCAGTACCAGACCAAAACCTCAAAACATCACATCTTTGAAAGACTCTAAGGTAACACATTTATTACACTTTACCTTATCTGATTCTGAATCTGAACTAGAGTTTTCAGATGATCTTCGTGAAGAGTGATGCTTTTTCTTCTTTCTCTTTTTTCCTTGTTTCTTATCCTAGTTACAAATATTTTAATAAAATTATTTGATTTTGCTCATACTAAATTATTATCTAGCATTGAGCTTGAAAGAGAACATGTAAGAGCCAGATTGCTATAGTAGTACAGACTGGTGTGGTTGGACTTGAAAGGTACCATATCAAATTATTGCTGTGACATGAAACTCACTGTGGACATTCATTCACAACTGTCCTATGTTGCTGTGATGATAAAGTGAGACTGAGGAAGATCATGTGTGCTATTTTGAGCTCTCTGGAGAATATGTGGTTCAATATTATTATATTCACCAAGAAGAAAAATAATGTTGGTTCCTATTTTTCATATAAGAGCAACATTTCAATCAGATTCAAGTTCTCTTGGCACAACTGTAACCTTTGAAAAGCTTTCATGAAACAATGCCAGCTTGCTTAAATGTGAAGATTCCCTCCTCAGTTTCCTTTTTTAATGAATCAATAGAGTTTAAAGCAGGCGTGGGCAAACTTTGGGCCCTCCAAGTGATTTGGACTGCAACTCCCACAATTTCTAACAGCTGACAGGCTGTTAGGAAATGTGGGAGTTGAAGTTCAAAACACCTGGGAGGCTGAAATTTGCCCATGCCTGGTTTAGAAGTTAAGAGTATCTGGTTTCCGTTTCCTGTCAAGGTGGTTAAGTACCGTCACTCTGTATTTCCATTTCATCAAGCATTACATTTTGGAAAGAGCTTTATGGCAAGTCAAACTTTATTTTCTTGGGTATTAAAAACTCATTTATTTATTTATTTATTTACTACATTTGTATACCGCTCTTCTCAGCCCTCGGGCAACTCAGAGTGGTTCACAATAGCAAAATTCAATGCTTAAGACATCATAAAACAGTTAAAAACAATTAAAACAATTACATTATAACAATCCATTAAACATCATATAACATCTCATTATCATCTCATAATAAAAATCAAGATCCAGTCTCATCATCCAATTGTTCCATATTCCTATATTCGTTACACTGCCTAATCAAATGCCTGCTTGAACAACCAGGTCTTCACTTTCCTCCGAAATACTAACAGGGAGGGGGCCGATCTAATTTCTGTAGGGAGGGTGTTCCACAGCTGAGGGGCCACCACCAAGAAGGCCCTGTCTCGTGTCCCCGCCAGACGTACTTGTGATCTTAATGTCCTAGCTGGTTCATAGGAGGAGAAGAGTTCGGATGGGGAAGGGGGAAGCAGAAAAAATAATGTTCTTTTCTTCTGCATTCCCCATGTAGTCTGTCTTGTTGATCCTGGCGACTTTTAACCTGAGTAAAATGGCTGGGATGTTGGAGAAAAGAGGATGTACAAAAATGCTATGTTTTCCTCTCCCTGTTTTGCAACCACTGTCATTCTACACATTGAGTTCATTCAAGGAACACTGAATCCAAGCTAATGCTTCAAATCCTGTTGGTGTTGAAAAAGGGCATAGCTATGCAAGCACAGGTAGTGGCAACAGGAGAAAAAAGACCACAAGTGCTAGGCGGCCACAAATGTTGTGGCTATGAAATAAGACACTGAAGACACAAACTGGTTAGATTTTGTCTGCCTTTGCTCTCCACTACCATATGAAGTTGCTAGCACAGTGTGTCAACAGGATTGGACCAAGTGCATTTAACACAAGGAAACTAAATTTTTTTTCAGGGGTGTGTGTGTGTTATTTTAAAAACCGCTTTCCTTCCAATAAAATGCCACATGACAAAGCATTTATTCTACATTCAAAATGTCAAGCTGAATTGGCACACAAGCATACCAAAAGTAAACATATTCTGAAACTGAGTTCTTACCTCATCTTCAAAATCAGAAGAACTGCTGGAAGAATCAGAACTTGATGAGGAAGAGGAAGATGGAGACAACTTGACCAAAGACAACAAAAAGTAAATTTGTGAGATGCAGAATTGGTTAAAGAAATGCAATATTGAATAGGACACAGCCAAAGAAGAAATTGATTCACAATGACTATCTCAAATTCCAAAAGATAAGATTAGGAGAAATTAACTGAAGATACATTAAAACAACATTAAGAGCATTTCCAGGCAAAGGGCTTCTCACACTAATAATTAGAAGGCACCATGCAGCTGTTTCAATTTTTTTCACCTTAACAGATTTTCTTTGTTCCATTTCAAAGCACTTTGACTATTAACATAAAACAGGACTAAAAATTGCTCTCTAAAAATCCCCCTTTCCTCCATAGGCAAGACATTTCTTAGATTCATATGCATATCTGTTTGGCTATTTAGTTGCTGCTAACTGTGAGAAATAAGATTGAACACTGTGAAAGCCATCCACTGCATGGCTATCGGCCTCTGCCCAGTAGACTCAAATCAAGGAAAAGCTTCATGAGGACCTCTACTCCTCTTAATGTTCCCCCAGCAACAGCAAGAGCATCCCTATGGGCAGTTAAACCAGGAAATCCCAATTGGACGGCCCCCCACAAGGCTCTGCCTCCATGGGCAAACCAAGAATGGGCAAGTCAGAAGTCCCTGAACAGACCCAGAAGTGGAGTGGACAGATCAAAAGACAACATAGCAAAATGGCACTAACTAAAGAATAATAGTAATAATAATAATAATAATAATAATAATATTTATTTATAACCCGCCACCATCTCCCCAAGGGACTCGGAGTGGCTTACATGAGGCCAAACCCAACAACACATCAAAAACAATATGCAATAATAAAATAAGAAGCAATAAACAAAATAAACAATACAATTAATATAACTCACAAGTAGACAATAACATACAACACTTTAAAAACCTATGGCTGGGTCAAATGTAATCTTCCACCCTGTGCGACTGTGGAGCAGAACAAACAACTCCGCACCTGTATGCTTGTCCGCAATGTCATGCCTCATGTGCACAGGAAGAATTCTTTAAAGCTACAGACAATGAAGTCGCTGTCAAAAAATACTGAGCCGCTTGTGCTCCTTCTATTTTTTTATCAGTTTTATACTTATTTATGCAATGTTTTTGATACAAAATCAATAGCTATTTATATCTATCTTTGTATGTACACATATATACAAAGAGAAAGAGGAAATGAAGTCTTTGCTCACCCTACTGGATTTCTTCTTCTCTTTTTTCTTTTTCTGAAAGGCAATCAATTGAATTTGCATTAGAATTCACTGGTTGTCTCTATTGGTTAAGATTCCATGTTTTGAGGTTGGGATGAAGGCAATGTTGGGTAAATGTTGAACTAACAGCAAAGAGGATCACAACAGGGAAATCCTGAGCCCAATGTCCCAAACTGCCTTTACCTCTTTCTTTCTTGAAGTACTCTCGCTTCCACCTAAAAATTTCTCCCTGTGTTTTTCCAATTCTTTTTTCCAGTTCTGAAAAACAGAAGAAGTAATCAATAGTAACAGCAGTAGGAAACTTTGGAGATCTCTAAAAGCAAGATTTTCTAGTAGTATTTCTAGAAGTAGCCTTTTCATTTGGGACAATTAGGTTACAAAACCCTATTCACTTCCCTGGAAGTAAGCCCAATTGAACGTTTGTGTCATGGTGCTCCAGTTTCAAAATATAAAGAAAAAGACAGATGGCTGGCACAGGATATTAATAACATTAATTTCATAATGTGGTATAGTGAAATGCTATACTAATCTATCTTTATAAACAAATAACAAACCTCATTCATCCTTTCTTCAAATTCTGCTAAGGCCTTGGAACCTTTCTTCTTCTTCTCCAGTTGTTCTTTCACTTCTTCCCTTTATTGAAAAACAGTAACACACCTTGTTAATGCACATTTTTGAAGCATCCAGTCATAATTCTCCTTCTCATAGCACTAGAACAGTGGTTCCCAACCTTTTTTTGACCAGGGCCCACTTGACCGGAGACCACTTTGACCAGGAACCACTCTCCAACATTAGTACTAAAAGGGGCAGGGATGGTTAGCTCTGCAGAAAGGAGTGGAAATAAAATAAAATAAAGAGGAAGGAGGTTCGCAGTCCCGATTTTCGATCTCGCAGCCCACTGCTGGGCCACGGCCCACAGGTTGAGAACCACTGCACTAGAACAAATGATGTTAAGATTTAAAATGTGGCTCTAATTCTATTATTATTAACAACTATGGAATCCAGAGACATAGTGACAACCACCAAATTATTCTGTTTGTAGACCTTAGGTGCAATTTTCTTCTCAAGGTGCAGCAGAAGATGGAGTCTGTGTGTACAAGGCTTGTGAACATAATGTATCTTAGGGTCAGGGCTGAAGTGTTCCACACTGATGAAGAACACTATGATATTTATTTATTTATTCATTCATTTCTTTATTGGTAAAAGAAGAAGAATCATTTTTTTCTATACATACCATGTTGGCCTGGGTCTGTTCAAGTAGTCTTGTATGGTAGGTCCCGACGATGGAGCAGGGCCTCGTGATCTAGCCATTGCTATGGGATTCATGTAAGCCTTAAAAAGAAGACAGCAAAGCAAGACATACAATAATCATTACATTTTGTGCCTTTCAAAAGTAGCATCCCTAGCTCTTATTTATTGGAGTGATGCTACCTTTCTTTATAGATGCTTTTTAAAACTAGTTTCTGGCCAAAACATAGGGAGACAAGACATTAACAGACATACTTGAAGCCAAGAGAAAGGCAGTGATACAGAAATAAATTATGTGAAGAGCAGTTGCTCAGCAATACTTCTTCTCTGCTCTGTGATTTTTTTAAAATAAAAAGAACACATATCAGCCATCACTGCAGAGCCTTTACAGCAGTGGCACCATCACTCTGGAATACTCTGCCACCTGAAGTCCGTGCCTTGCGGGACTTATCAGCTTTACGCAGGGCATGTAAGACATGTTTCGACAGGCCTTCGACTTTTGATATTGCTGTTTTTAAATTGTATTAGATTTTAGCCATTCTTGTAAGCCGCTCCGAGCCCCAGGGGAGTGGCGGCATATAAGTTCGAATAATAAATAAATAATGTTAGTACAGATTGAGCATCTCTTATTTGGAATTCCAAAATCCCAAATACCCCAATATTTGAAACTGTCCACATAGGTGGCTGAGGCACTGATATCTTTGATATCTGATGGTTCCATTCACACTGATTTTGTTTAATGCCTAAAATTATTTAGAATATTTTATAACCTTCAGGCTATAAATATTCCAAAATCTGAAAAAACAACATTCAAAATAACAGTAACAATAATAATATACTTTATTTGTATCCCACGCCATCTCCCCAAGGGACTCGGGGTGACTCACAACATGAATAAATACAGTAAATACAGTAATATACATAAAAATAAAATGATCAAATAATAACACATCAAATCTATATAAAACAAACTGAATAAGTCAAAGCACAAGTAAACAAAATTAACAATAGAAATGATTAAACATTAGTTAAAACACAATCATTCCTATGAATTAAAAGGGCCTACTACCTGAATCGAGGTAATAAACAGAGGCCTTGTCCACATTAAAATGTTCACTAATAATTTCCAAAAGCCAGTTTAAGCAGCCATGTCTTCAAACCTCTCATAAATGTTGTAAGGGTGGTTGCTTGTCTATTCTCCCAGGGGAGGGCATTCCAGAGCCAGCAGGCCCTATCCTTCATCCCCACCAGCCTTGCTTGCAATGGGGGGGGGGGGTAGGCATCAAGAGGAGGGCCTTCCCAGCATATCATAAGGCCCAAACAGGTTCATGGAGGAATAAATAGGCAGGAACTGAACCGTGCAGAGCTTGATAGGTAATAACCTGCACTTTGAATTGGGCCAGGAAGCAAATAGGCAACCAGTGAAGCTGCTTCAGGAGTCTTCAGAGGCAACCCCGCATAGAGTGCATTGCAGTAATCCATACGAGGTGTAACCAAGGCATACTTCAGGTTCCAAATATTTTGAGCACAGGTTGAGTGTCTCTTACAGTAAATGTTGACTAGAGAGTGGAGATTTAGATAAATTTAATGGATCTGATCAGTCGGACTGAAACAAGTTTGTAGTGCACCGGTGACGGCTTTACCACATAAATAGAAAATGGAAAAATATGTATCAAAAATTAAAAGTAGCTGTTACCAAAAGTAAATTAAATGTTAAAATAGAACATATAGGACTGGAGGGTGCCCAAGAGATCACCATAGGTAGGGTTTTCCATGCTCTGATCCACCAGTAAAACATATGTCACTGATCTGAAAAGTCTACCTAACAGTAGTAAACATCTGCATTTAATCCCTCTTTCTGTCTTTTCAAGCACTGAGTAATAACATTAGAAAATCCTCAATCATAGGATGGAGCTCAGCAAAGCCATGTAAACCAATATTGTCTATTTTAAACCTACTTCATGTGAGTTAATTTGACACTTTGAAGACTACGTCTTTCTATATGTTTTAAATTGTACATATAATAGCATATAACACTTTAATTGTACAACTACAAAAGGCTAATCAAATGTATCTAATAGAAAGAGGATTAATAACAGAGCAGAGAAATAGCAAGGTGTAAGACGTGAAGAAGTAGTATGGGATCTCTCATAGTCCATGTCTCTGAATGGTCTCTTTTTTTTAAAAGTCCATTTGAATTTTATTGCATGTATTGTCTAAGGCTTTCATGGCCGGAATCACTGGGCTGTTGTAGTTTTTTTCGGGCTATATGGCCATGTTCTAGAGGCATTTTCTCCTGACGTTTCGCCTGCATCTATGGCAAGCATCCCCTGAGGCAGGCGAAACATCAGGAGAGAATGCCTCTAGAACATGGCCATATAGCCCGAAAAAAACTACAACAACCCACTTTATTGCATGTGTTTGGGTATAATATTTAGCAAGGTCTTGGTGTGCCAATGGATGTCATCATATAGCTAGATTTGTCATGGAGATAGGAACTCTTCTGAGTGTCCCAAACTGTCATATAATCCAAGATAAACCTTCAGTTCTGTCAGGAAAGTATTCTAATCCATTTACTATTTAATACAGAGATCATTGTTTTTTATATATTTTGCTAGCTTTGTAAGCTTGACTCACAAGACACAGGCAATGTTTTTAATGAATGGGTAGCTTATTTAATGTCTTCCAGGAGTCCAAACAACAAACCTAACTATAGGATCACCCCAAGGCAGATAATGGCACAAACACAACTATTTGAACAGTTTTCTCCCTCTCCACTCAACTGTTTCTAGTTCAGATTCTTCAATTTCATATTAATCTCAGCAAAAGATACGGTGTGGATGAGTCTCAAATCACACAAATGGAATTCTGCATTTGGCCAGTGACAGATTTGTCAAAACTAGTATTTAGCCTGATTAGTCCCATCTTTGCTAACAATCTCAGGTGTAGAATTAGCACAACTGCTCTAAGGAAAAGTTGATCTTTCTTCCGATGGTGCTGAGATCTGCTGGATTCATTGCTGAAAGTCAGATGTGCATGAAAGAAGCTCAATGCTATTTGAAACCCCCTGCATTTTCCCAAAGGAAGGTGAGGATGACTAATGGTTTTCTCCTGAGACACTTTTGAAAACTTCTGGGATAATGTCTGAAGCGCGCTCTCTCCCACTCTGAACTAAAAGCAATGAACGCCTCAGCAGCAACTTGATGGGATATAATTTTTGCTTATGTCAGTTAGCAGCTCCCACTTGGCATCTAAACGTAGGTGTTCTCATAAATTTTAACAAAAGCAACACGAACAGGCACTGATGTAGCACAAAAGAGCTAGCAAAAATCCTTCCATGTATTACCCTTTGTTGGTGAACAAACCTGCAGTTTTGAAATCTTGACAGTTTTGTACCTTTTTGCTTGGGCTGATAAAGGGACTACTATGATATGGACTTTGAAATTTGTCTTATGGTCAACACAACTATCAGTGCACATGTGTGACAAAGACAGGTGCTATAGGCTGTATTTCAGAGGGAGAAACTGGCAAACCCATCTCTGAGGCCCCTTCTACACTGCCATATAAAATCCGGATTATCTGCTTTAAACTGGATTATATAGTAGTGTAGACTCAGACCCCTTCACTGCCATATAATCCAGTTCAAAGCAGAAAATCTGGCAGTGCAGAAGAGATCTGAGGTCCCTTCCAGACAGGCCTTACCCAGGAACTGATTCCAGGTTTTCTGTTTATCCCAGATTATCTGGCAGTGTGGACTCATATAATCCAGTTTAAAGCAGAAAACCTGGGATCCGATCTAGGGATATAGGGCCTGTGTGGAAGGGACCTCAAATAATCCAGTTCTAAGCAAATAGTGTGGATTATCTGATTTGATAATCTGGATTTTATTTATTTATTTATAGTATTTATATTCTGCCCTTCTCACCCTAAAGGGGACTCAAGGTGGATCACAATGTACATATGCACGGCAAACATTCAATACCGTTTTTGACATACAACACGTCCAGACAGATAATAATAATAAATAATGATAAACTTTATTTATACCCCGCCACCAACTCCCCAATGGGGACTCGGAGCAGCTTACATGAGGCCAAGCCCAAACAACAAATTACATAGCAATACAAAATTACAATAGGCACAATAACAATGACAATGGACGGGCTACATGTACTGGTTAAAAGAGACTGATTAAAAACTCAGGTGAGATAAGAAAGAAACAGATTATTTGCGGACGAGGGCTCATTATGGTGGTGGTTGTGGAATCAAGCTTTCCCACAAGGGGAGGGGGCATGTACTCCAATGACAAAACGTTGAGGCTGAGCACTAGTGTGAGGATGTAAACCTATTCATCAAAAGCACAGTGGAAGAGCCAGATTTTAAGGTTCTTTTAAAAGGTTTCTAGGGTAGGGGCTTTCCTAATTTCTCCAGGTAGTGAGTTCCAGAGTCGGGGGGGGGGGGCCACAGAAATAGAGGTCATTCAGCAGTTCTTCCACTTTGGATGCTGGAGGTTGCTCAATTTGGCCACAGGGGAGCTGTCGCTTCGTCCACTATGACGCTGAGCCTTTTTGATCGTAGTATTTTCTCCTTGCTCTTCGGCATTTTTACGGTGTTGAAAATTAGCCTCCCTGATGTTCCAGTGTGCCTTCCCAGAATAACGATCCCTTAGCATTATGTCCCCAAAAAGCACTTTATATCAATTTAGAACTGCTCGTATGTCTCTATCAACGCCCTACCTCCTGTATCTTGTTCATGCCTAGCATTATTTTTTAAACTTTAATTACATTTGGCCCAGCCATAGATTTTAATTGTGCACTGTATTTTGTTTAATGTTTATGCTTTTTGTGTTATGAGATTTATTTTTATTGCTTTGTATTGTATTGTTATTGCTTGTATTGTGGGCTCGGCCTCATGTAAGCTGCACCGAGTCCCATGGGGAGATGGTAGCAGGGTATAAATAAAGTATTATTATTACTGTCTGCTCATTTGAACCAGAAGGGTATTTAAAGTTACTTTAATATGATATGATATTGTATTGTCGAAGGCTTTCATGGCCGGGATCACTGGGTTGTTGTAGGTTTTTCCGGGCTATATGGCCATGTTCTGGAGGCAATTTTTCTCCTGACGTTTCGCCTGCATCTATGGCAAGCATCCTCAGAGGTAGTGAGGTCTGTTGGAAGTAGGAAAAATGGGTTTATATCTCTGTGGAATGACCAGGGTGAGACAAAGGACCCCTGTCTGCTGGGACTAGCTGTGAATGTTTCAGCTGATCACCTTTGATTATGATACTATTGAGTGTGGTGGTGGAGTCTCCTTCTCTGAAGGCTTTTGGGCAGAGGTTGGATGGCCATCTGTCAGGGGTGTTTTGACTATGTGCTCCTGCCTGTCAGAATGGGGTCTCCTTTAACTCTATGCTGTAGAATGAATGCACTTTAAACTGTCATGGTTTCACGGGGATTGTAATTTTACAAGGTCTTTGGCCTTATTTGGCTTAAGCCCTAAATACTTTGGGTCCAGACTACCTGGCCAATCGCCTCTCCTCATTTGAATCCTCATTTGTCACTGTGCTCATTGGGGAGCTCCTCCTCTCAGTCCCAGTCCCAGGCTGTAAGGAATTGTGGGAGTTGAAGTCCAAAACACCGGGAGGGCCTAAGTTTGCCCAGGCCTGGGTGAGTGCCCTTCAGAGGCAGCTCCTGAAAAGCTCTGGCCCAGCAGAAGTGAGGGGAAAGCCGGTTGCCACCCTCCCCGCTCTTCCCTTGTCACTCTAGGGCCCACCATCCACCCCCAAACCGTTCCCCGCTGACTCACCACCCGGTTGTCCCTCTTCCCCATGGCGAACCGGGCCTAGCTCCAGCCCCGCGCGGGACTCTCCAGCAAGTTTCTCATCGCGAATGCTACCGAGCATGCGCGGGACGGAGGCGCGCATGCGCAGCAGCCGCCGTTGAAGCTCCGCCCCTATCTGGGAATCCGATGGGAAGGCGAGAGGCGGGGCCAAAAGGAGCCCCGCCCACGAGCGCGCGCACACTCCTACAAAGCATGGGCAAACTCGGTCCCTCCAGGTGTTTTGGACTTCAACTCCCACAATTCCTAACAGCCGCTAGGCTGTTAGGAATTGTGGGAGTTGAAGTCCAAAACACCTGGAGGGACCAAGTTTGCCCATACCTGATTTATAAACTCTGTTTAATGGTCTGTTCTAGTATTTTTTCCTGATATTGATATCAGGTTGACTTGAGTGGTGATTGATTTCCAATGCAAAACAGTAGTGTGTTGGGCAGACAATTTCCTCCCTACAACCATATATATGAACCATCAAGGACTTTGAGATCGTCTGGGGAGGCCCTACTTTCGGTCCTACATTCGTCACAAGTACGTTTGGTGGGGATGAGAGACAGGGCCTCCTCAGCGGTGGCCCCTTGGCTATGGAACGCCCTCCCTAGGGAGATTAGATCTGCTCCCCTCCCCCTTAACGTTTTGGAGGCAAGTTTATTTATTTATCGTGTCATCCGCAACCAGAACATTGTATTACATTTCTAACAGAACAAAACAAACAGATAAAAAAAATAAATTTGCAAACTTGGTAGCTGATTAAATGTCCTTTGACCAGTATCTGGCCACTTGGAGTGCCTCTGGTGTTGCCGCAAGAAGGTCCTCCATCGTGCATGTGGCAGGGCTCAGGTTGCATTGCCGCAGGTGGTCAGTGGTTTGCTCTTCTTCAAGTTAAAACGGCTATTTGAGCAAGTGTTTACAAAAGCAGAGTAATTGATATAGGAAATCTAACGACTTGATGATGGAACTGGACTTTATAGAAGGCTTGATAAAATGTGCTTGTTGATACAGAGTAACTCATTTGTTTCCAGTTTTGGACTCTCCTTTAGGAGTTGCTGTGGATGCTTAAACTTTACTACCACTGTGTTGGAATATATGTCAGTGTGGACTCAGATAACCCAGTTCAAAGCTGGTATTGTGGGATTTTCTGCCTTGATATTCTGGGTTATATGGTTGTGTGAAAAGGCCCTATAGGTATGTACGCTCCAAACAGTATACAGTAGTTTGAAAAGGTGTGCACCGACAAGATTGCAAGGCACTTCAGCAAACAAACAAACACATTTTAATAATATCTGTTGGTAAATAAAATGTGGCTTGTCTTTTTTTTCACTTTATACTCACCCTAACTCCAAAAATAATGTAAAATAATAATGAAAACAAGGGCATAGCAAATGAATATTTTTGCATATAATTATTTAACATGCTGCCTCTGTCTTTCTTTTGACATTTCAAGATTTTTAAAAACAGACACTTCCCTATAAAAGTGAAGCAAATACTGAAATGGCCGTCTGAAACATATAGAACATCAGCTGTTTTCATTTCAAAGTATTTTGTATGAAAAATTTAAAAACAAACTATTGAACATAATATTGATTTCTCCGATTGCAACATCAATCCAGCCTTAACCATAAATATATTACCTACTGAGTTCTGCAAACATAAAAAACAATCAGTTCCCAGTGACTTATATAAGTCTGAGGGTTTAGTCTTTTGTCAACTAATCCACAATCCTCTTAAACTGGAGGACTTGGATTTAAGGTTGTTTCATCAGTGATAGAAAAAGCACTTTGCCACCGCAATCCTATATGCTCTTATCTGACCAAACAGTCAGTTAAATTAAAAGAACATATTTCTGAACAGGCATTCTTCTATTTGTATTCTGATTATCTCCTCATCCTCTCCACTCAACTCTGAGGTTCCTCTCCCATCATTTTAACCTTCTTGGCAGAATCCTATAGAATCCTGGGATTAATAGTGGGGTATATGCAAGGTAAAGAGTAGAGACATCAGACTGGCAACAAAGATCCGCCTAGACAAAGCCATGGTATTCCCTGTAGTAACCTACGGATGTGAGAGCTGGACCTTAGGGAAGGCTGAGCGAAGGAAGATAGATGCTTTTGAACTGTGGTGTTGGAGGAAATTCTGAGAGTGCCTTGGACTGCGAGAAGATCCAACCAGTCCATCCTCCAGGAAATAAAGCCCGACTGCTCACTGGAGGGAAAGATACTAGAGACAAAGTTGAAGTACTTTGGCCACATCATGAGGAGACAGGAAAGCCTAGAGAAAACAATTATGCTGGGGAAAGTGGAAGGCAAAAGGAAGAGGGGCCGACCAAGGGCAAGATGGATGGATGGCATCCTTGAAGTGACTGGATTGACCTTGAAGGAGCTGGGGGTGAGGCCGACAGGGAGCTCTGGCGTGGGCTGGTCCATGAGGTCACGAAGAGTCGGAGACGACTGAACGAATGAACAACAACATATGCAAGGTGTTGGAGGTTGTAAATAAACAGAAGCTTTACCACAGTTCCTGAACCAAAAAATACCCTGCAGTATAATAAAGTGTCACACAGGCTTGTGTAACAAGTAACAGTATCTTTACTTCCGTTCAAAATGTCAAACAGGACAACAATATATACAGCAATCTCTCTGAATTCACACAGAGAACAGAGGGAATAAACAGTTTTTAAAAACAGTCTTTTAAATATGCTTCTTGCCTTAGATATAATCAGGCTTCAGAGAGTTGGCAGCTATTTCCTTCCTGGCTGTTTACAGTCAGCGCTCTCTTCACTCTCTGAGGTGAAAGTGGCAGTTAAAACCATTTGTCTTAGCAGCAAGCCAGAGACAGTAGCCAATCAGAATTCTGGCCCCTGACATGCTCAGCCAATCAGCTGCCGACACATGTCTTTCCAGTTAACCCATTTATATCATGGTGCCTTTTTACAAATCCCCACACAGGGGGCTATGGTGGTGCAGTGGGTCAAACCGTTAAGCTGCAGAACTTGCTGACCGAAAGGTCAGCGGTTCGAATCCATGGGATGGGGTGAGTTCTTATTGTTAGCTCCAGCTTCTGCCAACCTAGCAGTTTAAAAACACGTAAATGTGAGTAATTCATAGGTACTGCTTCGGCAGGAAGGTAATAGTGCTCCATGAAGTCATGCTGGTCACATGACCCAGGAGGTGTCTATGGACATCGCAGGCTCTTCAGCTTAGAAATTGAGATGAGCATTACCCCCCCAGAGTCGGACACGACTAGACTTAGTGTCAGGTGAAACTTTACTAATTTGCTGTGTAGGCCTAGTATAGAGTATTGCATATGAATTACACAGCACAACAACAACAAAAACAAAAACCTAGGTGTTTTGGTTTTTAGGTCTGTCCAGGAGTTCTTTGAGGCACTGATTCAGAAAATTGCATTGGATAGACCACAGCTCTAGTCTCTTAGATATGATTGTCATGATTTTCTATGGGCAGACGAAGACTGGTATATAGCATATGTTCTGTATTTCAAAAACCAGAGCTGATAGGGGGAAAGTGGTGCCATTTTGGGAATCAACAGGTCGAATATACCCAAATATACATTTGAGGCATAAAAATGTGTGTTGGCCAATGATCCATTTTTATTTTCTGGAATCCACGGACGTAGCATCATTTATTTGGACAAAGCAAGATGAATTAAAGGAATACAATGTATATCATAGGCATATTTTCAGTGTTTGTGCAGGTGAATCAGTAAGCTCACTTCAAAATGAGGTGGTTTCACTAGTTATGATGCCACTGCCTTGGTCCTTGACATATCCGGCCCATCCTCTGGATATCAGTCAGCACACCAATGACTTAAATCAATAAATAAATTTCTAAGATCTACAGAGATACTTGCAGGAACGCTTCAGCAAGCGAGAGTCCAAAAGTGGCAGGCTAAAACCTGGAACTTCAATCAGTGGCTGATACCGGATGAGAAACTCCCTCCTGGGCACACTGAAGACTGGGCGACTTGGAAAACACTGAACAGGCTGCGCTCTGGCACCATGAGATGCAGCACCACTGTTAAGAAATGGGGCCACAAAGTGGAGTCCATGACATGCGAGTGTGGAGAAGATCAAACCAGTGTCCACTTATTACAATGCAGCCTGAGCCACACCGCATGCACAACAGATGACCTTCTTACAGCCATACTAGAGGCACTCCAAGTGGCCAGCTTCTGGTCAAAGGACATTTAGTATAATGCCAAGTTTTTAACTTTGTGTTTTCAAATACATTATAACTAGACCTTCAATTTGCTTCTGACATGATACATAAATACTAGTTATAATTGGAATCATATAGGACATTAAAACAGTAACAAGGAAACATGTTGCATCCATTTTATTCACGCACCTCTAAAAGGAAACAGTAATTCAGGTAGAACTTTGAGGACTGCAGATATAGAAACAACAGGAGGCAGGTTGAATTAGTAAAGATGAACTGCATGATTAAAAGAATCTGTAGGTGGTGCAGTTTGTGGCTTAGATGGACACTGAACTATTTCAGCTGAAATCATAGATGTATTTTCATAAACAATAACACCACTAGGGTAGAGTGCAGGGATAGGAAATGAGTGGCTAGGGGTATAGCAACAAAATGACAACCCAGAATTGGGCCCCAAATAAGAGCCTTGCCTCCCCAAAGACATTTTCCACAGCTCCCCAAACTTCTAGCACTGCACTCACATAAAACTTTATTTGAAAGGAAGGCAAGGGCAAACCCTTTTTGAACAAAGTTTGCAGAGAAAATTCAATCATTTCTTAGGGTTGTGGTAAGTTGGAAACAATTTTATAACTACACAATTATTGTAATAGGTCTTAAAACAGAAATCTCCTTAATTTATAATACAAAACGTAGGTTGCTAAGAGATCCACATCTGCTATTTACAAGTCAGTAATAGCAGCTTGATCTGGAGACATTTGTTGATATTAATGTCCATACACAATACTGAAGTCTACTTTTTTGGGACTGTGATGCGTCTGGGAGGTCCTGGGGGTTGTAGCCCAAAATTGTAACTTTTCCAAGCTCTGATCTTGTCCTAATGTAGTAAAACACACTGACTGTGGATTGCAGTCAAGCCTAGCAGCTGTCTGGGTACTGTTTTTTTGTGGCCACCTATTGACCCTATTCAACAGTTGTAGAAAAGTAATTGTCACAACCAAGTTTGTTAGGCACACAGTAGAATAATGACTGTATTGTCGAAGGCTTTACTGCACAACCTCTGAGGATGCCTGCCATAGATGCAGGTAAAACGTCAGGAGAGAATGCTTCTAGAACATGGCCATACAGCCCAAAAAAACCTACAACAACCCAGAATAATGATTGGTAGTCATGATCACACACAGCTTTATTCCATACAATGTTATCAAAGCTAATTCTAATTACAGAAATCAGGGACAGTGTCTTATATATCCATCACTGATTACTTTCTAGTGACAATTACATAAAAAAGAAAACAAAATGAAGGAAATAACCCAAGTTACCTTTTAATTTCCTGCAAATATTTCCCCACTCTATTGGGTAAATTTCATTCTACCAAAACATTATTCAAGTTTACATGTTAAAAATAAAGCACACACACATACACACATGAATGAGACCTAACAAATACTAAATCCAATAAGCTTTGTCTCTTTAGTTGCAAAATGCAAATATTATACTACGCAGCTCATTCAGATCCTTTATTTTGTAACCTGATGACTTTTTAGCCCCACTAATCGTATTAGCAGCTCATATATCTAAAACGAACATTTAAAATGCAAACTATATTGGAAAAGCACAAATCTTCTAAAGTTGGCAGCTAGTGATGTTTTTGTAAGGCTAATACTCAATTATTGACGATAACTCTGAGGGAGAGATATCTATTTTAGTTAAGAATTCACATATCAATAAAAAACAATCATTTGCATTGCATATACACAACTTGGATATAAAAGTCCATCTTTTCAATAAATGCTGACCCCATTAATTGGGTCTGAGTGCTGTTACTAACCATGTGTCCTCACTGGATTAATCAGCTGCTAACCAGGAACCTGAGACTGGAAAATAAAAATCACCTTTGCAATTGTAAACATGCTTGTTCCCAAATAAATCTCATTGGTTTCAATGGAAGAGGGTCCAAAAGGGATTAAGTTTAGTGCCAAGATTCTCCTTCTAGAGTCCAGAAATTACCTGTGTTGAAATGGTCCTGTTTAAAACTCAATTGGTTCCAGAAAATACAGAGGGAAATAAATAGACTAAGATCTAATTTTGTCCCCTTCACAACCCAAACCAGTTGAGCCAGAGGAATTGCATTTGGTAGGATAATTCAGGAGAGTCATGTGGTGTAGTAATTTGAGCTTTGGACTAAGACACTGGTAGACCAGGGTCTGAATTTCCACTCAGCCATGGAAACCCATTCATTGGCCTTCAATACATCACGTTCTCTCAGCATCAGAGGAAAGCAAATGCTCTCTGATCAGATCTTAGCAAGAAAACCACAATAGGCCTTGAGGCCATCGTAGGTCTGAATAACTTGAAGGTACACAAAGCAACTACAAGGATAATTCAGCTTCAGGTCATCAAAATGGGTTATCATCAAATATTTCCTACCTGTTGCATTTCATCATGATAGCTACAGTGGACCTTGTGTATCCATTGAGTTTTGGTTCCAAGGAAGTGCAGGGATACCAAAATCTATGAATGCCTAAGTCCCATTGTTATAGTGACATAGTAAAATAGTATCTCTTATATAAAATAGTTTTGGGATTTTTTGGGGGGTGGGGAGGTGTTTTCAAATCATGGATGATGACTGAACCATTGAAAAATGGTTTATTCATATGGAGGGCTGGTGTACCCCCAGTGGCACAGTGGGTTAAGCCGCTGAGCTGCTGAGCTTTCTGATCGAAAGGTTGTAGGTTTGAATCTGGGGAGCAGTGTGAGCTCCCACTGTTATCCCCAGCTTCTGCCAACCTAGCAGTTCGAAAACATGCAAATGTGAGTAGATCAATCGGTACTGCTCCGGTGGGAAGGTAATGGTGCTCCATGCAGTCATGCTGGCCACATGACCTTGGAGGTGTCTACAAACAATGCTGGCTCTTCGGCTTAGAAATGGAAATGAACACCAAACCTGAGTCGGATATGACTGGACTTAATGTCAGGGGAAACCTTAACCTGTACCTAGTTGTATGCTAGTTGGGATACTTCACAAAAAAGAGAAAGGTGAGAACTCTTTAAATTTTTTCCATTTGACTAAACTGAAATGCCTAAACTCTAGAACATATACAGAGCCATACCGTTTAGTTCCAATTAATCTTGTTGCCTTACTTTTTCAGTCGTCTCAATGTTTCAAATATCCCAGTTTCTCCCTCTTCCACACATTTTCCCCACTTCCTCCTCTGCTTCCTCCATTTGGTGCAAACTGACTTAAAAGTACAAAAGTAGTTAATTAACTCAGTTGTGGGGAGAAGACAGGGAGGCAAAATCTTGTCTTTCCCTGAAGATTCTTGCTAAAGCAAGAAGATTCTTGTCATCCTGATCACATTGTGGTGCCACTTTGTCCTGGTTTCATTTGTGAAATGTTGGAAGTTATGCCGAGACTCTTTATCAGTAAGAACCTCTTTATCCATAAGGACTTGAAGAATACTGTTGCCCATCCATTAAAATGAAAGGAGAAGCCACTTCACATTGGAGTTTTGTTTGAATATTGTAACACGGAGCTTAGACTCAGGAGCACAAAGCCATATGTTTTTCAAGGGCTCCAATGAATGACCAAGGCGACCTTTCTGAATGCACACAGTGCACTTTTGCTTGGAGCAGAGAATGTAGAAATTCAGGGAACGTGCAGCTTGCAAAGTTTCAGGGACCAGTAAATTAAGGCTAGACTGTAGAACTGGGCCAAGAAGGTGTGATCATCCAGATATTGCTGGTGCATAGTACTATTTGTCCTTCACAATCGGCCATGATGGTCAGGCTGGTGGAAGTTTTAATTCACCAACACATAGTGGCACGGTTAGCTTACTGTTATTGCCAAAATAAATCCCATTGATTACATTGATGTCCCTATATTTCCTAAGCTGCTGTAATAATGTTTAACGGCAGACTACAATGAAGGCAACCCTCCCCAAAGTACGTGTATTTCCATTTTTCAGGCTCTAGGACTGACAGAATATTAACTCATGAGGAAATAAGAAATACATACCAATATATATCAAACAAACACAGTAAATGGCCCATACACAAATTACAAATATCTTAATATGACAGAATACACAATATTTCCAACAGTATGCATTTCAAGTTATAAAACAGCTCTTCCAAACTACAGAACCTTTCCTTCCTTCTTTCTTTACTTTTCTTTCTTGGAAGCTCAGATTCTCGGCGGGCAAATCCCTGCCCCTGTCACCAACCTCTCGTGGTTCTCAACCTGTGGGCGCCCAGGTGTTTTGGCCTACAACTCCCAGAAATGCCAGCCAGTTTATCAGATGTTAGGAATTCTGAAGGCCAAAATATCTGGGGACCCACAGGTTGAAATCCACTAGCTTAGACGGTGAACGAAAACATGGAAAATCGCTTTCCCAGTCTCTGCAGTGTGCCCACAGATACACCAAATGCACATAACTTTGTGTGCAACCACAACCCCTTTAGCAGCAAGGACAAATGCTGTAAAAGCCCCTAAGCAGCAGGTAACTAAGTCGAAAGTATTTTACGGAGTGTGTGTGCCCAAATATTAAAGGTTTATCTAGGGATAAGAATTTGGTCAAAAATAATGGTGCAAATTGCTCACTTTTATGAGCACAGCACACAAACCACTGGAAAAGTGAAGAGACTTGCACCAATGATGATGTGCATAGTATATAGTACATAGTATATTTCCTAAAACAGCAGCAATGAAAGAATGGAATCAAAAGATCTAAGTGGAACAAAACTGAGATGATGAAACCATAAACTCAAACAATAAAGGTCAGCAACTGGATTCTTATGGGCAAATCCAGGGTCCTCAGGTGTGCTAAACTGCTCATGCGCATTGAAAGAAGGATGAGCGTGCATGACATCCACAGCAGTATGATTTATTATAATGCCTTGAGGCAGGGGTTATTTTGAAAAGCATTCTCCAGAAACTGGTTGCTAATTAGAATGTTAAGCACTTTCGTTCAGAGCTATGAGGCAGAAATGGAAGAAACATACAAAACAGTCCTGCCCTGTACAATTCATCTAGCCTTGGATGATTTATTAAGAACTTAGAAAGGTTTCTCTTTTGGACTACAATTCCCAGTTGTTGTTTTTTTAGCTAGCATGGCCTCTAAGCTTGTTAACAAGCATTCTTGGAATGGCAATCCCTCAAAAATATTTTGCTCTGGTTCTGTAAAAGGCTCTCCATAGTTTCGTGTGGACCAACCTAGTTAGAGAACCTCCTAACTAAAGACATTGTTGACTTGCATTTAGAGAGTAGGTTGTGCAGGTAAGAGAGTTCCCAATACAAATACTGCTCTAAAAAATTAACATGTTGGATGAGTTTCCAGGCTCTACAATGGCATAGGATTTCCTTCCATACAAATTCAGAAACCACATTGATGAGAAACGGGCACAATATGTGTTTCAGATTGGACCTGAATTTTTTTTTGAACTTGCTTGTTCTAAAGTGCTTTATAAAACCAACCTTTTGATGCACAACAGCACTAATTATACTATTCATCACTAGCTTACATTTGTTAATACAATATGCTATATATTTAAATCTATTTATCTTACAGTAGCTTTACACAAAACACGCAAAGCTTAATTTATGATGCTCTTAAGCTTTTACAGCTGCCATCTAGGAAAATATGGCCCTCTACTGTATGTTATGAAAAAGTTCCTTGATTTTGGTTCTATTTTTGTGAGACAAAGTCATCAAATCAGAATTTCTATAGCAGACAGTTTGAACAAGTTGTTTTCAAATTCAGCCTTCCTTGCACACATCCTAATTACGTTTTATTTTCAGGAGCCATGGTGAGGCAATGGGTAAACACTTGTGCCAGCTGAACTGCTGACCCAAAGGTCAGTGGTTTGAATCTGTGAGACAGGGTGAACTCTCATCTGTCAACCTCACATGCTGGGACATGAGAGAAGCCTCCCACGGGAGGTAAAAACATCTTGACCTCCCCTGGGCAACGTCTCTGCAGATGGCCAATTTTCTCACACCAGAAGCAACTTGCAATCTCTCAAGTCGCTTCTGACACGATAAAAAAATCAGGTAGAGTTTTTGCCTCAAAATTACCCTCTTTACTCCAAAACCTCATAATTTTCCATAGCTGTACTATTCATGTTACATTTCAGTTTAAGTCAGTTACAATGCTTAATAAAATCTTCCCCTACCCTTATTATAAGGTTTTACCATATATGACTTTTTGCTTATTTGTCTTTTTGTTTTGGAGCCCTTTATACCTATGTTCTAGTCAATGGCCATTATCCAAGAGGTTTCGTATGTAGGCTTGTAAAAGTCTTTTCTATTTCTATTATTTTTTTGTCAGAATGAACCAAACTGCGTCCCTTCAAAACTGTGTAATTATGACCTTTGTAAAAATAAATTGCACAGGCAAGAGCAGTAAGGTGCTGTAATTGTGACTGAATCACAGTGATTGTTTGCATGCTTTATTATTGATATAAGGAGGTGCAACTTCCATTTGCTTGGCTGCTGAATAATTTCCATGGAGGAAGACTGCTGAAATGTGTCACTGAATCAATAATTGTGTTTTGTTGTGCTGTCATCCTGTATATTTGCCATTCCTGGGCCCACCTTGTTTTATCTATTCTAAGTTAAAGTGGGGGAAAGAGGTAGAAGCTCTACCCAGTTGATTCTAAATGCTTTCAGAGTTTGGGTTATACCTTGATAATCAACTCTCCTACCCCTGGTTCTCCCTCTCTGGTAGTTTTTCAGTATTCTCACCTGCCCTACTTACCTTTCTTTCACTCTGTAGCTTCCCTACATCTAACCTTATTCAGAACTTGGGTTCTGGAGTAAGCCTTCTCTGTGATACGTATCTATGACTGTGCTTTCTACATCCTGTTTCCACTTTATTTATAGGATCTTCCTTAATTCTCCATCACAACTCTGGGCCCAAACAGGGTAACACTTGTAGTTTTCATTTGTCCATTGCTTAGTAATGACAGATATTTATTATTAACTGGGACGAGCTTTAGGAGGCATACCACCCCCTTTAAAGCAGCTCCACTGGCTCCTGATAAGTTTCCGGGCCCAATTCAAAGTGCCGGTGATTACCTATAAAGCCCTATGCACTTTGGGTCCAACCTATCTTCAAGACCGCATTTCCTTCTACGAACCAGTGTGGGCATTTAGATCTGCTGGGGAGGCCCTTCTTTCAGTCCCACCATCATCTCAAGCATGGTTGGTGGGGACGAGAGAGAGGGCCTTCTTTAAAATGTCCTATAACCTTTCCCTAATCTCAGAACCATAAATGTGATTGGATTGCAATTCCCATGCTCCCCAGCCTGCATGGTGAATTATCAAAAGTGATGGGAATTGCCATTAAATAATATCTACCCAAATAGGGTAAAAACAGAAGTGAATCAACCACTATGTAAAAAATTATAGCTGGCCCTCTGTATCCACAGATTCTCACAGTGTAAATGCTGAGAGGTGTCTTGTGGTAAATGTGAGGAATGCTTCATGATCCCCAAATTTGTCCCACTTTCTCCCAGTTTCTCTCTCCTCTTTCTACTTCCTCAGCTTACTTCAACTGCTGCAAATTGAGTTTAAAATACAAAAACTGGATGCATTTAATCAACTCAGTAGGGGGAGAGGAGGGCATAATTTCACTCTTCTAATCAACCAGGCAAAAGAAAACTGCTGCTGCCTCACCCAGCTTGTGTTTTCTTCTTCACTAATAACTTTTACTGTCTTCACCACACTCTGATGTTGCTTGGCCATGTGAATCTTGATTTTCTCTGTGAATTCTCAGAGGCTATCGTCTGGAGGGACCCTGCTCTCAGTCCCACCGCCATCACAGTCACGATTGGTGGGAACGAGAGATAGGTTGGTGGCCCCTCAGCTGTGGAATGCCCTCCCTAACGAGATTAGATTTGCCCCCTTCCTCATGACCTTCCAGAAGAAGCTCAGACCCTGGTTATGGGATCAAGCATTTGCAGAATAGATGGTTTTAACTGACTGTTTTTAGCTGACGGCAATGGATTGAATATGGGTTTAACAGACTGTTGAACTGATGGCTATGGATTGATTTGGAGGATGGCATGATATGGCAAATTGTTTTAATGTATTTATGACTGTTTTTACTGTAGTTAAAGTGTATATTATGTTGTGTATTGTTTGGCACTGAATGGTGCCTGTTGGTAGCCATCCTGAGTCCCTCTTTGGAGGTGACAAGGATGGGATAGAAATGCTCTTAATAATAATAACAATAATAATAATATCAACGTTTCTAGAACAGCCTAAATACAGATCCTAAATACAGTCCTTGGAGGGGCCATTGGTATTAATAGGTTGTGCATCCTTTAGGTATGTTTAGGACTGACCTTCTCGATGTAGCAGCAGAAACAACCAGTGAAATGGTCTGCACAAAACTTCAAATATATGAGGATTTCCCTGTTTTGGAGACATTACAAAGGTCTAAATTTTCATCTATTTGTAACATAGCAATGTTCCCAGCAAACATTTCCCGAAGCTACTTCATTCAGAGTAAATTCATCTAAATGCAGGCAAACAGCAATGGTTGCCTGGAATTTATAACTTTAGTATACATGCACTACTCTGAACCTGAAGTAAACAGGAACTTAAAATGGCCCTCTCCCACTTGATATTTAAAAGAAATAAGAAACAAAAATAATTCATCGGTAAGAGTCATCCAAAACTTTTAAATAGCTGCTAAAAAACCTCACTACTCACTAGCACAAACAGTTGGTCTCCTATAATAATTGGGCAGCATGGGGGATATATTGCATAACATGAAGAAGCTGGATATGCTTGGTACACGGGAGAAGAAATAATGAGATGTGTGCGTACAGCTATTGTGCTAATTCAGCCTTATAAATACACTCATTGAAAACCAGTAGTATGAAAGCAACAGTATTAACCTGTTTGCAACCAGCAGAGTGGGGCAGGAGCTTCATCTGTTTTCCAGCAGCACACTGCATAGGGGTAGAGCTGGCCTCCTATGGTAACCTAACTGATTTCTGTTCTAGACCTCAAGGAATGGTTCTGGATATCAGGTGAATGCTTTCACAAAAGGGTAAGGGACCTCTTTGAGTCGGAGGAATGAGGGTTCCAGTGATGGGTAGCAGAGTTCAGAAGCCAAAACAGGAAATCTGCAATGATAAACAGTTTGAAGTCAAGAAGCCTTAACTCAGAACAAAGTCCAAGTGGGTAAGCCAAGAAGGGGTCCAAGAGTTGGAAATCCAAGGCATTCAACAGAGATGGGCTGAAGTTGCTTTCAGTACCAGCTAGTCTGCTTCTTGAGAGCTCACATTTCCAATATTATAAGGAGTGTGGTAGTTTTTCACATAGCTTTAGGATCTGTTTCAAAAGCTTAATTCATCTTCACTCCTCCAGCTCCCCATTTTGATGAACTGGGGGAGGATTTGGATATTCATTATGCTGAACTCAGTTGCTGTAAGTCTTCTTCATCTTCTGAGAAAGACAAACTAAAGTGGAAGGGGCATGACAGGCAGGAGCAAAGCAAAAAGGGATGAAAGCAAAAACCAGTGGGATATTTTAGCTTGAAGCTGTTATTGCTAGTAACTAAGCCTTAGAGAAGAACTGTCAACATTTTAGAGTTGTGGGGGAGTTGCTATATAAATATTAGCAAAACCTGAGGAACCCCAGTGGGTTGGGAGCAAAGCAAATCTGGGATGGTCCCAAGGCCTGCACTTAAGCTAAATTTTGACTAATTTCAGTAGTACTTTATTACAACATCTCTGGAGGATGCACACTGGCTTTGGAAGCACTGAGCTTCAATTGTTTGTATTCTGTATCCCTTATGTATTACCTCTATGTTATAATCCTCGTATTCTGAACCTAAAATTATGTCTTGAGTAAACGGAATAGCGAAAGTCACTTAATATTTCTGTCAAAGCTCACAAAATACAAACCCATCTATTCTGACAGGACACAAGGCAGAAAACGTCCAACCCATATGCCATAATAGCAAATCTCACCCATAACTCAGAAGAAATAAGGAATAATAGCTAAAAAGATTTCAAAAAGTAGATTCCATAGAAGGAACCTCGGTTCTACTCATTTTCATCTAGAAAATAAACAGTTCACTTGCATATCCTTTTCAAACATAATGTGAAAATTTTGACCAATAATACTTTCTATACACATTGAGTAACATTTCAAAGCTTCTAAAATCATAATTACTAGCCCTTACATTATTTGACTGAATGCATTTCTAGATTATTTACATTTCTAAGCAGGCATAGCTTCCAGAAGCCAAGAATTCTGTCCTTAGCACAAGGGAATATTAATCTATTTTTTACATGAACCAGGAGAAGCAGAATAATACATACACTACATAAAAACAGATATTGATACATCCTAGCCAAAAGTAATAATAGCAACAATGATTTGGGTACCAAGCAGGACAACACAATGCCTTTTTGTAGCACAAGCAGCTGTTTTACGCTATGCATGAGGCAGACCTCAAGGTAATACCTTACACTGGGGAAAAGGATGGTCACTGCATAAAGGATTACCCAATAAAGGGGACTATCAGGACAGTCTGACTTTCCCAAATGCAAGATTTGACCTCTCCCAATTGCAAGGTTCCCTTCCCCAGCTCCTGTGTATCACTGACAATCCCATATTTCTCACTACAGTCCCTCCCTACACCTGTGTCATTGCACGGTATAGCAATTCCCCATCAATGGATATCCTTGGATGCCCACCTCAAATTGCACACTTGGGTTGCTTAAACAGCTGAGTTGAGAAAACCCAACATTTTGGGATTTACTCCCCGAAATTTCCATACCACCATGGCCAGTCCAAAAAAGCAATCTTTTGAAACTCTAATTATCATGGTAGTAAGATATAGGCAAAATCAGGAAGGTTTTCAAACCACTCTAGGCATCTATGTACGTGGGTTGAATGAAAAGTAATGCCTCCACCTTCGTAATTCCTCAACAGATGGCAGTACTGGTATGCGGCAGGTACTGGCTTGTACAGTAGACTCTTCTCTACAGTTCCATTTTGGCAGAAAGTCTTAGCATTGAACAGTTGTGTTGTTAAAGTGTGAAGTATGGAATCCTGCGCAGACAGTCGATCAATGCAACTTAAGCAACGTGCAGTCATTGTATTCTTGACAGCAGAAGGTGTCACCCCAAAGGAGATTATTAAGAGAATGCAAGCGGTTTATGGTGATTGTGTTGAAGTGAGTACTGTGTGTCATTGGGCGAGTAAGTTTAAAGATGTTGAGGTGGGAACATCTGACTTGCATGACAAACAAAGAGTTGGATGTCCTATGACAGCAACCACCAAATTTCACAAGCAAAAGTTTGACAGATTGATTCAGGACAATTGTCGTATCACTCAGAGAGAAATTTCAAGCATAATCAGCAATTCACAAGAACATGTGGGTCACATTATTGCTTTGCTTGGCTATTGGAATATCTGTGCACGATAGGTATCCAGGATGAGAAAACTGTGAGACGCTGGTTGCGGAAACAGAGTGTCAACTTCTTCTGTGACGGCTTCAGAAAACGTGTTGGCAGAAATGTATCCAATTGTCTGGTGATTATGTGGAAAAGTGACTAGTGGTAAAGAGCACATTCTAAGGATTATGTCTGCATTTGATTTATCAAAATATTCCCATCCAAACCCAAGTAACGAAGGTGGACGCATTACTTTTCATACAACCCTTGTATATGTCACAATTCTCTTCTTACCTCTGCAATGAACTTTAGGGATCAGAATTGCTCCAGCAGCATAGCTGTCCTCACAGACAACACACATTAGTTTTAGCATGTTAGCTGTATGATGCTAAGATCACATCACATTGTGCTAAGACAACATCATTTGTTTTTCCATACTTTGGTGCAAAAGTATTGAGAAGTAGCATTTGGAGAAAACTAAATCTGTTGTAATGTAGACATTTTGCACACCTAAATCCCTCAATCACATGGGCTACATATGACTTTGCCATGGGAAACCCGAAGGAAAGAAAATATTCAATATGACTTCCAGGAGCGGACATGAAAGAAAAAAAGAGAAGGGCTAATACAGCTCTATAAGCTGAAAGGAGTACAATGGGATTATACAAGGACAAGGAACCTTCAGCCTTCCCAATGTTTTGGACTTCCATTTCCAAAAGCCCCAAACAAGTATAACCAATGGTAAGGCACCACTGGTGTTGTATGTTGAGAGAGCCACAATCCCCCCATTTCTTGCTCAACAGAAAGAACAAATATGATAGTGGGGTGCTAATAGTACAGTATGACTCCCATATCTGCAGGACCAATATTTGCAGTTTCATTTATCCTCCAACAAAATATGTCATCTCTAGGTATTTTCTAGGTCCTCCAGTGCAACCTTATGGTATTCATGGGCAGGAAGTCCTTTATTTCATTAGGTTTTATTATTATCTGCATTTTTACATGTCCACATGAAGCCGGGGAATGTACTCCCCATGGATATCAGTCGTATTGTACTAGCCATCAAAGAATTCCAATAGCACCTACTCTTTTGTTATGACCGAGGTTGTTGCAGTTATGAAAACACTGGGACAGTTTTCTCCAGAACTACATCTAGGTCACTGCAGCGCAACCTGTGGTTACATGCATAATTTTTCTTTCAGAAGATTAAAAAATATTTCATTAACTTGTACTACAAAAATAAAAATTTCTTTTAAAAATTCTAATTCTTCTTTTTTTTAAAGAACCCCTTTAACTAAAATATGTACACAATTTAATGCAAAATTAAAATAGTTGTGCTAAGACAGTTAGGTAAATTATTGATCAAAGATTACTTCCAATTGTAGCAACTCTAAAAGAGACAGCATAAACAAAATAATCAGTCTTAAGTGGCAGTGTTACACGAGGGTAACTCATACATTATGACACATAAAAATATGAGATCTGATTATAAGAAATATCTTGCCAAGGTTGGCTTGGTGACAATTAGCTGTCCATACCTGAGGTTTTTTATAGGCATGGCACACAGGATATATGGCAGCAAAGAAGACTTCCTTCCTTATAGCATAATCTTATCCTTGTTTATTCAGAAGTAAGCCTCACTGGACTGCATCCAGATTTAGGAATATTTACAGGAGAGTCATTAAAATCTATTGCTGTGCTATGGCTAAATATGGCCCAGCCTACTGTTTTCACTATAGCTTGCTCACAGAAAAACTACATAAGATTGCGGCCTGGCAGTGAAATTCTATATGGACTATTTAGAAGCAGGTGAGTGAGGCTTACTCCTAGGTACATGGATACAGGAGGGCACGTTGATTAAAAACAAGTGTTCATGACTCATTGGAAATTATATGGAAGTTATACGAAAGAAACATTTGATTTTAATTCTTTCTCATTGCCCCCGGTGACCCTTGTGCCGGCAGGACTGAAGACCAACAGGTTGGAGGTTCGAATCCGGGGAGAGTACGGATGAGCTCCCTTTGTCAGTTCCACCTCCCCATGTGGGGACATGAGAGAAGCTTCCCACAAGGATGGTAAACATCAAAACATCCGGGCGTCCCCTGGGCAATGTCCTTGTATACGGCCCATTCTCTCACACCAGAAGTGACTTGCAGTTTCTCAAGTCGCTCCTGACACACACAAAAAAACAAACAAAAACAAAACCTTTTTCTGCTAGGTATCATAGGAGTCTAAATATATATCATTCTCTAAGGAACATGAGTGCAATCTTATGATGATGAGCAATGAAATGCTGCAATTATCATCTCATGTTTCCTATTGGGAAGGGCATTCCTGTGTGATTACAATCACCAGATGCGTTTGTACACACTTTGCTTTAACTGCAGGCTACAGAGGTTCAGTGTTTTCAGTGTCATTCTTTTAAATATTGCTTTAAGAATTTTTTTCCTGAAATCACATTAAGCAAATAAACAGGCAATCTTATCAGCCTAACTCCGAAGAAATACCAAACCAGACTTCAGCACCTAGAGACAGAAGTTAAGTCATGTTTTGGTAGCGAGAATGGATTGCTGTAATCCATGGCGGCACCCTTTGCCCTAAGCGGAAGAAAATGGCAGCAAAACCGGTCAGCAGCACTTGAAGTTCTCTAGATAGAACTAAACAAACACCAAGTCACAGTGGGAACCATCTGACATCTTGCCTCTTGCATTGCTTTGAAGGTAACTAGGTTCTTGTCCTTGGAGAAGATTGCTCTGTAGATGTACACAGACGATACGAGACACTCCAAAGAATAACCATCAATTAAACAGTGGTGTTTTTTTAAATTACCCTCGGCGATGACTTTAATACGTTGGCTGTTTTGCTCATCTATAGGTTAAGCCAGAAGCAGCCTTATGGTGTATTCATCTCAGTGGAGTTCTGACTGGATGACATATCTGAATCCATATTCTCCTTGCATCTCTCCAGATCATGAAAATAAGAGTGAGATAAGGCATCATAAGCTGATATTCTCTTTGTGGGATTGAATGTCAAGCATTTCTGTAAATAGAGGCAAAAATTAGACCATTAAAAACTGAGAGGTAAAACCGAACTAGGTCTAGAACAAATAGGCCCTTAACAATTAATAGGAATACTACTTTAAGTCAGCATCCTCAACTAAAATGCAATGAAAGATTTTGTCATTTGCACCTATTATCACTTATGTAGGTTGAGTACCCGTTATCTGGAATTCCAAAATCCAAAATTTTTCAAAATCCACAATTGTCCACATAGTTCCCTAAGACAGTGACACCTTTCTTTTCTGATGGTTTAGTGTACCTGTTCCATGCCCAAATTAAAAAACATATATTGTGTATAAAATTACCTTCAGACTACAAGTACAAGGTGTATGTGCCGCCCTGAGTCCCCCCTCGGGGGTTGAGAAGGGCGGGGTAGAAATGCTCGAAATAAAATAAATAAATATGTGCAACATATTCAAAAAGTCTTGTTAGGTATATGCAAACACATGCATTCCAAAATCTGGAAAAATAGGTAAGCGAAATGGTTCAGATAAGGGATAATATCTGTGCCGGGCTTTAGCATAGTAGGTTAATCACCAAACTGCAATAAATGTTGCCAACCAGAAGGTTGATAGTTCAAAGCCTGGGCAAGGGTGAGCATCTGACCCTTCATCCCAGCTTTGGCCAACCGAGCAGTTCGAAAACAAATATGTGAGTAGATAAATAGGAACCGAATTAAAGCGGGGAAGACGCTTACTTCTTGGGAGGAGAGCACTATCTTGATAAAATAGTAAAGAGTAGAGACATCAGACTGGCAACAAAGATCCGCCTAGTCAAAGCCATGGTATTCCCTGTAGTAACCTACGGATGTGAGAGCTGGACCTTAGGGAAGGCTGAGCGAAGGAAGATCGATGCTTTTGAACTGTGGTGTTGGAGGAAAGTTCTGAGAGTGCCTTGGACTGCGAGAAGATCCAACCAGTCCATCCTCCAGGAAATAAAGCCCAGCTGCTCACTGGAGGGAAGGAGACTAGAGACAAAGTTGAAGTACTTTGGCCACATCATGAGGAGACAGCAAAGCCTAGAGAAGACAATTACGCTGGGGAAATGGAAGGAAAAAGGAGGAGGGGCCGACCAAGGGCAAGATGGATGGATGGTATCCTTGAAGTGACTGGATGGACCTTGAAGGAGCTGGGGGTGGTGACGACCGACAGGGAGCTCTGGCGTGGGCTGGTCCATGAGGTCACGAAGAGTCGGAGACGACTGAACGAATAAACAACAACAACAACAACATTAAAGCGGGGAGGTATTGGATCAGAAAAAGGAGGAAAGTTTATGAACAAAGAAAATGCTCCTCAGCAAGGAGATGGAGTGACAGCACCCCCCTGTGGCCGGAACCAAGCACAGCCTCCAAAGATGCCAAAAGATGGGAAATCCTAAATACATATCTCTATCTGTTGTCTGTCTTGTCATTGTACAACCAGCATCAAATGTTAGCTATATATGTGTTCTGTGATCTGCCCTGAGTCCCCTTCGGTGCGAGAAGGATGGAATATAAATACTGTAAATAAATAAATACTAAACCTGTACTATTAATGCAAACAACATAGTATTCTGTATTTTTTGGTCATGCAATACTGTCAAATACCTTGCTTCAAAGGCTCTAATGTAGTTGGCACTTACAAGTAGGAAGTCTTTGCCTAGTTCATCAATATCTGTTACAAAACGTTCAATAGGCTGAAGAGTCCGAGAAGTGAAAGCATTCCTTGGGAGAGCAACGTCACTTGGCCAGTCCTCTTCATCAGGAAGCCCAATTACACTGTATGAAAAACAAGCAGGTTTTGTTTCAGGTAAAACCAGAATTATTTACTCCTTAGTTCACACTGTTGCATCTTTTAACTACCTGATGACACCACTTACTTAATTGAGAAATACAGTAACTATATATCACAGTCACTTATATCGCTGAAGCTTTTGACATATTAAGGAAGTGAACCCAATGGGCAAATGCTTGTTAAATTTCTTCTCCCATAACAAATTATTTACAGAGTACAGATGCCTCCTGAGAACTCACAAATTCTTATTTTTATTTAAATAATAAGATAAGATTCAACACCAGAAAATTTATATCTGTTATCAGATATCATCACAGTATATAATAATAATAATAATAATAATCATCATCATCATCATCATCATCACCATCATCATCATCATTTATACACCTCCACCATCTCCCCAAAGGGGACTTGGGGTGGCTTACATGAGATCTAGCCCAGTAGTGCATTACAACAGAACAAAACCATAACACAGAAAAAATCGCAATAAAATAAATAAAACATAAGAATACAATATCATAATACATAATATAATATCAGAATACATAATAGTCTGGTCCAATTACCCCAAAGGTGCCAGATCCCACCTGATTTCAGAAGCTAAAAAGGGTAAGACCTGATTAGTACTTGGTATTCAGTACCTGGTATTTTTTGGAGACTGTCAATAAATACCAGGTACTGTACACTTTGTTTCAGAGGAAGGAACTGGCAAAAAGCCTCTCTGAGTATTCTTTGTCTAAGAAAACCCTGTGAAATCTATGGCTCATCATAAGTCAACAGATAACCTGAAGGTACATACACATACACAATCCATCACTAACTAAAGGTTGCAACTTATAGTTCAATGAGTACAAACAGCCCCAAGGAGCATACAATGCTAAAAACAGTGGTTAGAGCAGTGCTTCTCAACCTGTGGGTCCCCAGATGCTTTGGCCTTCAACCCTCAGAAATCCTAACAGCTGGTAAACTGGCTGGGATTTCTGGGAGTTGTAGTCCAAAACATCTAGGGACCCACAGGTTGAGAACCACTGGGTTAGAGTGCTGAATTTGGTTTTGGGAAAATGAGGGTGAAATCCTTCCTGGCCATGAAACTTCCTGGATCATCTTGGGTCTGTCACTCTTTTTCAACCATTATCTCACAAAGATGACATGGGAGAAAGAAGAGAATCATTTGTGTGTATTGTCTGGATTGTACTGGAGAAAAAGTACAATATGTACATCATCTATCCATCCGTTCACCATATATAAAAGACAGAAAATGGGAAAATCACGTAAAAAGAGATGGAAAAGACAAAAAGAGGGAGAGATGTCTGCCTAAAAGTCTGAGTGCTGCTGGAAATGAGACTTGAAAGCATAATTTAAAGATTTTCAAGAAATGAATTATTGAAAGTTGAAAGCCTGGAGAATCTTGGTGTCAAATAAATGATAGAGATATTTAGCTGTCACCCCACATTAAATACAAGATCAATGTATGAATTTAGTTCTTCTTCAGAACAACCCCATCTTTCTAGATATGAATGAAAAGGAAATGGCAATGCTGTGCCGCTAGAGTGCAGCACTACTCCAAATTTCCAAGAAATAGTTTTTTCCCCCCCAGCATGCTACAATGATGGTCTGCGAGGGCAAGACCAAGTGGAGGGTTATTCAGTCAATAGAGCCACTGCCAATATTGAAGGCAAGAAGAAGGGAAGGTAGGAAGACTGTGATTGTTGTATATGCAAACTCTTGTAACCTTCCTCTCACTCTCAATCTCCTTTCCTACCTCCATCTCAGTACTGTATCTTGCATGTTTGTTTTGATACTAAAACATACATCCAGCAATGAAGCAATTTTCTGAATAAAGTATTAAAAATAAATTACAATATCCCCTCAACCCTATTCACTGTATTTGTTTTTTTGGTATCCCAGTGAAATAAGAAATTAAAAAGAGGCATTCTGTATTAGATTGAACACTATCCATCTGATCAATGGATCTCCAAGCTGAAGATTGACTCAAAAGCACCCACTATTCCTGTTTCTCAAATACTGCCAGTCATGGCTGGTGATACACATTCACATTGATTAGTAGGCTTAGGCACGGATTTGGAGTGGCGGGTTCCCTTCAGCCAATCAGGCTTGTCATCTTGTCTGGATGGCCATAACGGCAAGGGTTCAGCCGTCACATTTTTTGTTGGTTACAGGACCACATGGCAGCCAATCATGGCTCCTCTTCCCCTATTTGGTACCATGTGGCCATGTACTACTCGCACAGGGTTTCCCTGTCAGCCCTGCCTGTTGGGTCAAGCAGAATAGAAGAATGCCATGATGTGTCTTATGCAAGCTGTGTCTAAGGAAAGGGTCCCAGGAAGGCTTCTTCCTTAACCCCATTCTTCAAACCCAGACTCCCTTGAAAGGAAGACAGAAAAGGGTCCCAGGAGGAGTGTTTCCTTAACCTCGTTCTTCAAACCCAGACTCCTTTGAAAGGAAGATAGGAAAGGGTCCCAGGAAGGAAGCTTCCTTAACCCCGTTCTTCAAACCCAGACTCCCATGAAAGGAAGATAGGAAAGGGTCCCAGGAGAGAGTTTCCTTAACCTCGTTCTTCAAACTCAGACTCCCTTGAAAGGAAGATAGGAAAGGGTCCCAGGATGAGTGTTTCCTTAACCCCATTCTTCAAACCCAACTCCTTTGAAAGGAAGATAGGAAAGAGTCCCAGGAAGGACGCTTCCTTAACCCAGTTCTTCAAACCCAGACTCCCTTGAAAGGAAGATAGGAAAGGTCCCAGGAATGGAAAGGGGAGCCTCATAAGTTCCCCATTCCTGCCAATGGGCCGGATCTTCTCAGATCTTTTGTCTGCGGCAACTTGCCCATTTTTGAGAGGCTCGTGAAAACGGATCAGCGAATCTCCTGGAATTTGGCCAGTAGAAACAGATTGAAGTTCAGCCAAAATGCACAAGCCTATTTATTAGTAGTCAGGGACCTCCCTAAATCCAATCAACCATCCAAATCATCAGCCACAACTACATCTAAATGTGAATTCTATGGTTTAGATACACACAGTGTGAAAAATGAGTATTTTTCATCATTTGACTTCAGGGGATGATCCATACCACACATTACGTTTGCCCTCTCATTTGCCCTTTTGCTGCTCCTTCTTCCACCTTGGGAGGGTACTTTTTGCAGTCTTTACTATCAATTTTTGCTTTCACAGCCTTAAATAATATAGAGACATTAGTAAATTTGGACCCAACTACTCACCCCATTCTAGTTATTTATGAACAAGTCAAGCAGTATCAACCTGAATACTGATTCCTGTAGGATTCTGCTAGTCATATTTTCACTCCAGTTACTAAGTTAAATCATTTATTAAAGTCTTAGAGCTATAATAAATATGTTTTAAACCATGAAACCATGTTGAAGATTATGTGGTTTTCCAATAAGTCATATTATCTCATGACATACCCAAGGTACGACAGCCCCAGTTTTGTCATCTTGGTTTCTATTGAGAGCTCAAGCCTGTTGAACCATTTAAACAATTCCTTATTCTTTTAAAATTTGTGGAAATAATTTATATTGTTCAATTTGACATAATTTCTGTGCTGCCCTAAGATACAGAGCCAGATGTAAAGCTTTTAATCAATCCGGCAATCTATTCATGGTGAGAAAGGATAGTTCATGCCTATTGTTTGTTTCTTGCTCAGGTCAAGTCCTTCAGCTGACTTTTTCTTTTTGTCCCATGACAATATTTGCTCAGGGATTTTCGGTGTAAGGCTGTATCAAAACCATTTGGGAAATCCAAATAAGTAAGGCCTATTTGATTACACTTGTCCACATTTTTATTGACATATTTTTTTAAAAAAATATTACAAACTAACGAGACAGAATTTACTTTTGCAGAAGACATGTTGATTGTTTTTAAGCCATGCTTATTATTTGCATACTTTTGATAATTTTATTCTTAACACTTTCCACCAATAAAACTGGAACTGATGTTGTGTTAACACGGATGGATCCACAAATCCCCTTTTAAAAACTGGTGTGACACTGTCCACTTCCCCTTCTGTTACTACAGAAGATAATCCCAGGATCACGTTATATACCTTGGATAGAAGATTGGCAATTTAATTTTAATTTCTTTATGAAATTTTTGATTGTTCTCAGATCACTGAGTGATTTATTTACTTGTAATTTGCCAACAATTCTAGTTCATCCTTGTTTGTTACTACAAGTTGAGTGTCCACCACTGTTTTGGATATTTTTGTATTTTGAAATATTTGGATGTAAATGATGAGGCAGGCAACAAATTGTTATTATTATTATTATTATTATTATTATTATTATTATTAATAATATAGCAAGATTAGTACACAGCAAAGAAGATCACTCTGCTGGTTGTTGTATTGGATCACACGTCAGATACCTCCCAAGTGTCTAGAACTATGTAATGTATTGGCAAATAATGCGTGCAGATCCCAGTAGGGTGGCCTTTTGCAGCTCACAGATGGTAATTTTGTCAGCGCCAATTGTGTTTAAGTGAAGACCAAGGTCTTTAGGCATTGCACCCAGTGTGCTGATCACCACTGGGACCACGTTGACTGGCTTGTGCTTGAGTCTTTGCAGTTCAATCTTTAAATCCTCATATTGGGCCAGCTTTTCCAGTTATTTCTCCTCAATCCTGTTGTTACAAGGGATTGCGACATCGACAATCAATACTTGGTTTTTTAAAACACGATTATTATTATTTGTCCAAATGCTAATTGGAATATTCATATAATTAACAAGCCTGTCTTCCTCAAACTGAGACTTTCAGCTGCTTTGGATCACATTTCACATTGTCTTCCAAAGGATAAATGACAACATTAGTTATCATCTCAAGGAATACTCAAATTGGGGAATATTCCTATACATTTATTACCCAAACCTGTTGAATACGACGAGCTCTAAATACTATAGAGTTGCTTTGGAGGATCTAGAAAATGCCTAGAGAAGTGTTTTCTCAGTAATT